AATTAATAGAAGTATGAGTGCAAAGASTATCTGTTCTGAGATACAAATTATTTTAACTTAGAAGATAGAGTTTTTTAGAGACTTAGATTCTTTAGTGATCAATAACCTATTAGAAAATGGATCTTATCTGGACATAGCATTGTTGAAAATAATCAGTGCTTAATGAAGACCCTAAGAACACCTGCAGAAGGGTTATGAGCTTTCACAGTGAATTATCRTTTCATTACATAATCGCTGATCCTTAATTATCCTTTCTTAAAAAAGGCAAAAGTGCCGTTGTAGTCAGTTTTGTCATCCGTTTCTGAAAAGTCCTGCCTTGCATATTACTTCTAATGTGTCCCAAACCTGATGGCCTCCTGCTACTATCCTTTGTGTTGATATTCATCCAATACAAAAACTGCATGACCAATGTAATTATAAAGGAAAATGACGTTACAGACCTTTGAACTTCTAACAGAAAAAGTCCTAAGCCATTGCTGGTTTTGATGTCTTCTCAAACAGATGGGTGTTGCAGCAGCTTCTTGATGTGCCTAGGAATCTTGAACATTACCAGGAAGCAAAAAAGCTCCAGTGAAGAAAAGTGAGCTGTTAGAGCATTGTTGGGGAAGTAGCACAGAAAGGAAAACACTGGATCAGAGTGCACTTTGCTCTTTTRATTTTCTGCATTTTTAATTGTGCTATTTCTTCTTCCTTTTTTTTTTTAAACATGAAGCTTTATCATTTTCCTTGCCTTTTCTTCTTACATTAAATATATTATTTTCTGAAAGCCTTCTGTTTCCAGATATTCAGCATGTAATTTGGGAAGTAATCAAATTGTTTCTATTGTAAGTGTATTGTAGGTAATGAATGTTTAGCTAGCTGAGACAGCCCTTTGTCTTACTAGAGGATTATATTAATATCCCTGTTATCCGGAATGACTTTATGATCCAACACAACTTGAAGGAGAGGATGTTTCAAATTATTCCAAAATAAAAGGATGCCTAATATTAAGCTTTTGAAAGTAGTTTTCAGCTTCTTTTTAGCTGCGAAACTCATCATTGAAAGGTGGGCCCACTGAACACTGGTAAATCTGGACAGGTAGTCTAACAGAAAGTGTTTRTAACCAAACTTTTACCTTATGTACTGTATATTAATTTTCAAGAGTAAGGCAGAAAACCTGACAATAATTTGTGAGATATAATGTTTCTGCTTGAAATCAATCAGTAGGTTGTTAAAATATATTRCAAAAGTTCAATATTGACATCCAGTCAACTAGCATAATAGAGGATGCATTTCATAAGATTGCAATTCCTTCATACAGTTTCTGTTACAGTGTGTTTCCATGTGCAGAATATTTGCAGCTTTTCAAATAGTATATGGAAAATGGAAGTGATTTACACTTTAAAGTGTTTAGTTAGTAAAGTGATTTGCTTCAGTGTATTTGTTGCAAATMTGCAGTATTTCTAAAAAGAGCTTTCCTTTAGCCTGTCAGCATCGTTGGAAATCCAGTCTTACACGTTTACACGGTAACTGGTAAAATGACCATTCTGGAATTGTTGGGGATTTTCAGGTACAAGACCACTTGTGAAACTTGTGGGCAAGATTGAATGAAATGTAGGCAAGATTCCTAGAAGCAGTGGTTAAACTAATTAATTGCAGGTGGGAGATTTTCCTTATTCACTACTCCTAAAAGAGTCAAAGAAGTGTAAACTTTGAAAGGGAGATTCATATTATGTCTTTACCACCTTGCTCCCAAATCAGTAAGTAATCATTAAGATTAAATATAAAGAAGTCATAATTGTAATGTTAATATGGCTATAATTATTCTTTAATGCCAGAAACTCATAGAATGCTTGTGTTCCTTTAAATAAAAAAACAAACTGTTGAAATCTGAGAAGCAAAACGTTATTTTTCTCCATTTCCTGAATTTACTTTCCATGATGAAATATAAACCCACCCCAGGGTTATACAGGSATCTTCTGTCAGCATTCATGTTGTCTTGTCAGAATGTGTCTCTCCATTAGTTTATATTTTGGCAAATCTATCTCACACTTGATGCTGAAAAGCTACTTTCTCTTTCTGCCTTCTAGCAGCAAAATCAGAGGCAAGGTTGATTTAGGAAAGTTATGGTTGGGTGAGATTGGCCATCTGCACCAATTTCAATCTTTTCCTTACTGTGCCATCTGAGGAACCAGGGCAGTGTTTCTCCTAGGGGTCAGATACACAGGGTCAGCCTGCTGGCACACAGTTGCAATGTACCAGCTCCTTGGGAATTTATGATGTCCCAGTTTGTCTGTATACCTGTGTGCAAGGGTGAGCCCTGATTGTGAAAGAACAGTTCATTTGGGTTTTTAAATATTGTCTGTGTTTTCAGTGCTGTTATTGCAATAACATTTTTCATTTTTCTAGTTTCTTCCTGTTCTACAAAAAGAAAACCTTTATTGGCACAAGCATATGTTTGAAGATTTGTACTTGTATGTGCTTGTCATGAATGTATGAGCACCTAGAATTAATTCTGGATCAACATTGAAATAAATCCAGCTGGATTTATTTCAGTGCATGGAGCTGCTTTGTGTGCTTTGTGAGTTCTCTGTCCAATTATTTTTAACATCCTAGAAGGTCATGACCACTGCATGCATGCACAACATGCAATTCCTAGGCTGCTGCTTTCGATAAGGTTGAGTTTGTAATAGGTATGAAAAGTACATACTGAGGGCTTAAGAGAAGATCAGTGTATCACAGTTGCATATATCACTCTCATAAATAACATCATGCATATGTTTGACTGAATCCTGTGGTTCTTTCTGTGCAGCCATAAGAAACAGGTTGAGACTATGTTAGCATAACCTCTGTTAATTTCTGCTTAAGTCAATAGGGAGTTTGAAATAAGAGTTCCAACTAGAGACAGACACCATTCCTTCCAGAGGGTGTTAATTCATGTAGTTAGTAGTAAGTTGAACAAGAACAATGATGGGAAATTTGTTGCTTATCAAAGCTGAAGAGGAAAGGAATAGTAGATTGTGTTGTATTGGATGATTTTTCAGTTCATGTTTATTTTCTGAGATAGATTGAGTGTCTATTCTCCTTTTCCAATATAGATCTCTCACTTTCCTGTCTCATAACTTCTTTACAGTTCCGTAAACCTTGTATGAGRTCAAACTTTAACTTTCAAATTTTCACTTCTTTGAAAACTAAATAGCCCTTTTAATCTTCTTAGAAGACATATGTTTAGTTAAGCGCAGACATATCTTATTCCTCTGGTTTATATRCTTTGTTCAGAAGGAGAATATGAGAAAATGCATCTCTAACTCTAACGTTATCAGAAAAGTGTAAGCAAAAGTTCAAAACAGGTTTTAAGGGGACTTCAGATTATCAATATTCAATATTACTGAAATATGTAGAGAGATCAGTAAAGTAATACTTCAAAATATTTAGTAATATTTTTATAATATTAATAATAGAAACATTTTAAAATATAATTATATACATAGTTACTTTATTTTAGCTGTAACACATCAAAGTTAGAGGAGGGAAAGKGGCTTAAATTTTGTTCTGATATTAAGTAAATTCACCATTGCAGTCCTGAAGTTATACTCTCTAGATAAACCAACAAGGTAAGTCTGTTTATGGTGACAAATAATTCTTGCTGGTGTTCATTTAAGCTATTTACTGTTATTCCTGATTTTGAAAGCTCCTTTACAACTTTTTAAGTAGTAGGTACTAAAAAATTAATCTGGGAAATAAAGGATTCTATCAAAAAGAAACCAACAGAAAATTGAGTAAACTGGTTTTACCTTGCTGTTTAAGTGCTTATCTCACAAAAGGACTRCAAGGGATTGCACGAGTTCTTGCAGTTAGTTGAGTTGTCTGTAAGGGGTATTTAGTTTCCTATACTGATGATTTGATAGTATACAGTATTCCTATAACATAATAGGAAATCTGAAGAGATGCATGAAGGTTCTTTATTTTTGTGGATGATATGAAATGAGCTGAAGATATTTCYGTATAATACCTAGGTGATCCATTTTGGAACTGCAGCTTTCATTACAGTTAACTATGATTTGTACTGACACTAACGTTACGAGTCTCAACAGAGACAAGGAGTCACTAATTTAAATGGTCATAACAAATGTTCTGGTCTTTTCATAAACATAAATGGGTTTACTCTAATGTTAACTGTTGTGAGGCTGCAGGATGTTTTTTGGTATCAGAGTCCTTAATTCTGTAATTCCCATAAATGTTATATTTAACAGAGTAAAACTGGAAGAAGAGGGGGAGGTAAGCCTACATTAAGTATTTAGTTTCATATTTTGAGGAGGGGAGACAATACATCCTTCTAGGGGAAAAGGGTCTATCTTTAAATTGTCCATTATGTATCATCACTGTTTCTGTATAGAGCCAGCTCTTCCTTGTCATCTAAAAGATTTAGGCTTTAGGTATACGCTTTATTATATATCCCATGATATTTATAATGGTATGATAGTATTCTTTCTGATATTTCAGTAATTTATATATATACTTTTTTTTTAATTAATGGTTTTCCACTTTAGTAGACAATCCTTATTTTCCAAAAAACATCCATGTTCACTTTGGAGTTGCCCATTTTTCTGAAGATGTAAATTCCACAAAGGGAGTACTATTGTTAATCTAATTTGTATTCCAGTAACCATTTCCTGAACAATCTAGCTGGAATAATATTGGTTGAATTATTGAACTTATTGGCACAGCTCTAGCTTTAACTGTATTTCCAAATGTTCCATGACCTCACTGTTTGTTCTCATGCATGTTAACATTTAAAACTGTGTTCTGATGGTCTAACTCATTTATATTACATTCTGCACTGGATATTATGTGTGTGYGTTTTTAACACTAGTGTTGGAAAAAGTATTTTTGTTGTACCTAAGAAACAGGGCTCTGGACTTTTCTGTCTTTTAAAGTCACATAATTAGGATGTAGTAGTAAATATATTTTGTCTCTATATGCAAATTTTTGTGCATGTTACATATACTTTTTTCCTACAGACATTGACGATGCTCAAATTCTTCCACGTCCACCTCGAGTCAGACATTTTTCTCAGAGTGAGGATGCTCCAAGTGAAGTTTTTGGTGCATTAAATGAGGAACAGCCACTTCCACGAAGCAGCAGCACCTCTGACATCCTGGAGCCATTCGCAGTTGAACGAGCCAAAGGTGCAGTTCCTGTCATTGACAGTTCATCCCATCATGCTCCAAGCTTGCAGAGTTCCACTGAGACCTCTTCAATGCATAGATCCACTGAAAGCCATATCACTGATACAAGTAGCAGAGAGTCCTCCTTGGAAGTTGGGGATAGTATTTATGACCATCTTTGTCATTTAATAGGGCCAGTAGAATTTGCAAACACTGCCTTTGAACARAGCCAGTATGTTGACCTTGAAGGTGAAGATGATCTCCTTTCTTCTCTGAGAGAATATCTTATTAAAGAAAAAGAAGAACTTTGCGGTAACTTTGAGATAGATAAATGTGAGGCTTCTGCTCATGAAGTTGATACATCAGTAAGTAGGAACAATAGATTRCCACTGGATGGATTAGAAAATAGAGATCAGACTGATCAATGTGTGACTAGCATCGCTGTTACAGAAAGAGCCGATACCACAGAGCTGCACCTAGAACAAAACCCAAGTGGCTTTATAAGTAATATTGCACCTACTCAAGTAGACTTTTTTACAAGAAATCAAGCACTCAATAAATCCAGACAGTTAGATATTGATAAACAATATGAAAGCGTGTTTGATCATGGGTCAAGTAATCCTAGCAGCAAAGAAGGGAAGAGATATCTGTACAGGCAAGCAGCCACTGAAGCGGATGTAGATTTAGCTGTGGAAGCAGCAGTAGCTGAAAAGCATAAAAGTGCCCAGTTTAATGAAAAAGTGACCAGCTCACGTRTTGTCCATGCAAAGAAAATTCTTCCTAAAGCGCAAGTTGATCCTCAAATGCCTCACATCACAGGCACAAGCAAACTGGCACCAACTAAAAGAAGTATATCTGAAACAGTAACTCATAGGGCCAAAATAATGAAAATTACAGCTAGAAAAAGAAACAGCGTTCATGTTACTTTTAGGCCATCTACAGAATCTGTTCAGTTTTACAATCCTCTTGAGAACAAAGAGGCTGCTTGGAAAGCAAGACTTCGTAAACTCGGTGGCTTCAGTAGCAGCAGTAGTGGTAGCAGCAATATCAGTGCCAGTGCAAGCACTAGCTCATCAGCTGCCACAGAGTTGGTTAGACCTGGAATATATAGACATCTAGATGCAATCAATGCTGCTTCTGCTGGCAGCAAGCAAGTTAAGGAATCTTCAGAAACTCAAGCAGCTGTGTTGCAGAAAGAAGGTATTGCGGTTAGTCAGTTCCAATATCGTAGTGCCTTTAGAGCATCAGGTCAGGAGTCAGCACAACAGCAGGGCTCCCTGGGTGGTGTTTATAAAACTGTCGTACATGCTCTTTCGAAGCCGAAGGCAAATGTTTCCCCACAGAGGCAGAACAGAATGCCAGCAGAGGCTCCACTGAGGGATCTGTACAGTCATGTAATGGGCTATTTTGGAAGGAARGCTGCAGGTGAGCACTAACAGTGTGCAGAGCACAAAAGGAGAAAGGCAGCACCAGTTTGGCTTAATGCAACTGAAGCAAGCTCTCATAAGCAATCAAAAGGCTTTGGGATGATCACTGCTTTCCCTGTTTGGTTATGCATGCGCCTATAGCCAGCTGATTTTTCTCCCAGCATAAGTTACATTTACATACTTTAAATTACTAATTTTTCTTTTCAAGATATTTAGTTGAACCTCTTTGCTGCTGAAGATCATCAGGTTAGGGAAGAGGAAGAGACAGTAAATGACCTAATAAAGGATTAAGCCTTGAGACTTTGAATGTTCATCTACCATGCCGAGTCTTCAAATTAAACTTTCTGAATGATTGGCATTACATATTTTATCAGAATGTGTTATTCCACTCCTAGTGTAGGTTTTTTTTTTTGTCAGAAAGACCTGGCTCCCGACTAGCTAGGTTGAACTAATTGTATTTCTGGTTCATTTAGTGTGTTTTCTTCTTCCTCCTCATCCTCTTCCTCCTTTTCCTCCTCCAAAACAAAAACAGAATCAAAAAAAAGCCCCTCATATTTACATTTGGAGGTCATTTTAGATAGTTTACAAAAAATGGTCCAAAACAGCAGTCTGTTACTGGAATGATTTCATTACAACCGTTCTCCAAGTCAAATCACAAGGTTTTGTTGGAGTCTTTTTCAAAACATGTCATAGGCCTTCSTATATTCATTCATCAAAATGGCTGAAGTTACATATTGGCAACATCTTCCATTGCTTTCTTTTTTTCATGGAATCACGTTCATGAAAGTCTTGTGATCGTCTTTCTCCTGCTAACTATGAGACCTCCATGGACKGATGAAAAAAGAAAGCTGTTACTCTAATATACATTGTCTTAGTTCACATAACCTTAAATGAAAAATAAATTAACTTTCAGCAGTAATGCAGGTTTTCTTTTTTCCCATTGTTATGCTGGCATGATTAACAGGGGATTCTGCAATGCATCCTGCATCGAGATGTTAATGCCACCTGAGGGCAGTCTCTGTAAGCACAGCACCTGAGAGCCATACTGTCATGGGTCTCAAAAACAATTCACTGCTCTTCAGAATCTAGACTTCTGAAAAAGAAATACCTAGGAAGGACCGATTTTAGAAGTACCTGTTATTGAAAATCCAACATTTAACAGAGCCTCATTGCTAGAATAAACTACACTGTGGTCTTGTGAGAGATGATGCTGAAGGAAAAATTTGTATAAAGAGAACATGAACTGGAATAACTTGAAAACTTTAAAGGCGAATATCATGAAGTCAGGTGTAATGGCCACAGCTAAATGTGAACAGTATAGTTATATCAAAAATATAACACTAATAAATACGTGAACTTCATTAATTGTTCATAACCATTAATCATCTAGAATRAGAACTTTCATTCCATGTACTAGCATATAATTTTATTATGTAATATTTTCTTTGCACTATTTATACTAACTGTATRCAGTGCCACATTGCCATTTTGTCATTAGTATATATTACAACCTAGTTTGCTTTTCCACTACATTGCTTTTCATTAGGAATGCAATGAAGGAGGATCCTGAAGGAATCACATAATTTTTTTTAAAGTTTGTTGCTTACTTGTGATATGGAGGAAGAACATGTGCTTTATCCTTAAAGCAAGCATTAACAACTTTGAGTAGTGCTTACCTATAAGCTTCCTGCTCTTAAAGGTGGAATTGGAAATCGACTAACCCCTGCTTAGTGGGAAGAAGAAGGCGTACTAATTCTGAAAGTAGAATCTGCTTTAAAAGAGGGATGTTCTTAAAATGCATGTTTGGCAATTATGATTTTTTAATTTCTGTTCATTAGCAGGATTTTCATTTGTTACATTTTGTTTTGAAGGTGTCTTGATGCATTCTTTACTATAAATGGTTGTTCATTTGCTTTTAGCTAATAGAGAGGACATGAGTCAAAAGCTGCACCCTATTGATAGTGATATTGACAGTAGCAATACGAATGTTCCTGACCTGATGGATGAATTTATAGCTGAGAGACTCCGCAGTGGTAACGCAYTGGTAAGCCTTTAAACTTGCTACATTTCACTACTTAGGTCTCCATATATGTGTCAACTTGCCAATGATATGATAAATCAGTTCACTACAAATACTTCTCTGGCTTTTATGAATCAGAATTAAGAATGTTGTTTAATTATTCTTTGCCTTTGGCATAGATTCATACCATTTTATACCATTTATGTTTTCATATCTATTAAATTTTTATCATGGAAGCAGTGGAGAAGTCACTGTCAGATAAACTGCCTTAATTGCACCTGAAAAGATCTCTRACATAGACACTTTGAGAATCTTGTTTTAAATGTAAATTTTCAGGCCTCAGCAATGTATGCAATAGAGTACCATGCTGTAGTAGAGTACTACAGGTATAGTCTCTAGGTATAGTCAATGCGGCAGACTACAAAACTACACAAATACATGTATTTTTCCTTTATTTTTTAATTTCACTTCCAAGTGTTGAATAATTTCTTGTAAATAGTGCTCTGCTAATTGAGCCAACTTTTCATATGCTTTCTTCCTGCACTTTTCCAGAAGTGTCATGTTCTTTGGAATGCATTCATAATAAGAGATGTTAATCAATTTTAAGTCAAGCATTTCTGATTACTGTTGCATACTTACAGAAGGAGACAACTGCTTTGAAGAGATAAGTGCTTATTAAATAGCAACAAAAGGGAAAATACAAAAAAGTTGCAAGTTAATAAAAGAATGGGTAACAATTTAGTGTTTCAAAATTGTTTCATTCTTTTTTCTAAAAGTTTTTAAGGTCATTTTAAGACACACTCCTGTGTGGCATGCTCTTATAGAAAGTTATCAGTAAGGAGTTGGGTATAATAAGGGACAGAAGCAATTTCTTCAAAGTTATTTAAAAAATTGTTTATCATCACCATTTATGAATGGCAGGAGAGGATCTATAGAATTTGTCCATATGTATACCTTTTTTCTCTTTTGTACTGAACTCGTGTATGAAACTTGATTGTTGGCACAAAGTCTTGAGTTACAAGACAAAATGCTAACTCGTAGTCTATGAAGAAGGTTAACTTAGTCTGCAGGTTAATGAAACAGAAATCATCAGAGCTGCCTCCTGAAGAAGAGAGAAAGGGAAGGATTACTCTTCGTTTTCAGAATTTATACTTTCCTTGGGTAGCAGAAAGGAGCTGAGATGAGTTTGAGTAAATATTCTGAAACTCATTTTTATAATTGGCACATGACAACAGATGTTCCTTCTTAAAACAGTATCAACTTGTTAAGATTAGTTTTAGGTTGTTATATCTATTGAATGCTAAAACTGTATCACAAAAAGCTTATTAGCCTGACTTAATCTCTAATTAGTAATACAGTAGTAAMAGAATGCAGAACTGACTGGGCCTGGTGTAAAAGGAAGGCATCTTTATTCTCATAATGAATAAAAATCTCAAGCCATTTAATAAAATGGCTTTTCTAYTTTGATATCTCTTCCCTCTCAGGCGAACAGTCCTATCTGTGGAAAAATATGCCTTAGAGAAAGACTTCAAATAGATGACCACCATACTTGCACATGAGCAAATCTGCATGCCTTTCTTCTGCTATTTGTGGTCTTTTGTGTTGCAAACCAGTACCGAAGTTGTATTTTAATCATAAGAAGATTAATGCAWTAATTAACATGGTGGCCTATAGAAAGACATTGTGTCTGAAACCAAGGTTAACAAGTTCTCTTCAGTAATTTAGATCTAATACACTTTTTAACTAYTATTCTCTCTCTATTATTATATCTTACCTACCATGTGGCCCATGCTAGTCTGAATCCTAGCCTTTTACAATATATGTTCAAAAATCCACTGTGCAAATAAAATTTGTGTTGATGAAATTCTGTGACCATGTACTGTGACTGGGCTCTTCAGTTGCTCTTGCCTGTCTGGGGGCTTGGCAAGTCTTGGTATTTGGTATGATGGCAATTTGKTTTATGTACTTAATGTAATGTTTGTTACATTCTGACTTCAGCAAATATGCCATTGCTTTTTCCATTTTACATAAATATACCATCCAAGATTTGAAGACAATTTATGTATCTTCACTGTTTAGAATGTAACAAGAAGAGGAAGCAGTCCTGGCAGCTTGGAAGTTCCTAAAGACCTTCCGGATATATTGAACAAGCAGAACCAAATGCGTCCTGTAGACGACCCAGGAGTGCCTTCCGAGTGGACGTCACCTGCCAGCGCGGGCAGCAGTGACCTCATCAGCTCAGACAGCCACTCTGACTCCTTCAGCGCCTTCCAGTATGAGAGCCGCAAATTTGAAAGCAAGTATATTTTTCCAAAAGTAATAGCATTTTTGAGTAATTTGCAAATTTCCTTTGTTTTCTTTGTTGGTTTTTTTTTCCTGACAAAGTTGTGTGCCGGCARTATTCTGTAGGGAGAGATTATTTTGATTGTCCACTGAAATCACTAGCAAGTTAATGGAGCAAAAAAAGTTCTTAGGAGAGACTGTTGGTTTTTTTAGTAAACTGAAAAAAAGAGCACAGGAATGGTACTATGCAAAAAGTAGARCAACACCAAACAGAAGTTAGGAAGCAATATTGTCTTCTCCCTGGAGTGTATCCATCTGTTTTGCACAAAATATAAAAATTAAAGTTTGTGTATTTTGGAAATCATATTCTTTTGAAAACATTTAGTTAAAATGTAAAGAAGGGCTTTTGATACTTTTACCATGGTCTTTGTGTAGCTGAAGATGAATCAAAGTAATATCATGGTAAAATTAGTATGCATTGAAAAATTAGTGTACTTTGTTTAATAACATAATAATTTCCATTCATTTTATTTATCCATTCCCACCCTTATTTAATAGAAAGGGTCATTATGGTTGCTAGGAATTATGACTTCATGTATTATTTAAGATTAAAATAATGTTTATATAGTAGAATTTTTTTAAGAAAGGACAATTTCTATATATTTCATATTATGCAAATAAGTAATGGTATTTAAATCTGCATTTCATCCTAACATTTTTTCTTTAATGTTGAAAATAGCGTTTGTAGGAATATCATTTGCCATAGTATTTTTAGTTTAAAGTTAGTGCTTTTCAACAAGCTTGAATACTTCTTCCACCTTGTAAATTTTACAAATAAATTCTTTAATGTATGAATCTATTATTTTTGCTTTATTCAGATATAGGTGCACTTACAGCAACTAAGCATAATACATACATGCAACAGGAATGTCTTCTGCAGACATCACGTCATGGGTTTATGAAAAGAAAGAGAATATTCATTCTGGTCAATTATCTTCTGCTGTTGCATTTTATTTAAATTTTGCAGCAATGTTATAGTAGCATAGAAGATGCATATACAAGGTTTCTGTTTGGTTTGGAGGTCCTGGGCCTCTGGGGTTTTTCATATTAGTGATATTTTTATGTTGTAAATTAATACAATGCTATCGTCATACAGATTTCAGCTTTGGCACTGAGGCAGGGACGCCAGCTTCTACTGACATTGATGGAATTTCAGGACAGCAACAGAGTGCTGAGGAACAAGAAGTGGCCAGTCTAACTACCCTCCACATAGATTCAGAAACAAGTAGTCTCAATCAGCAACCATTGTCTGCTGAAGCTGCAACTATTACTGGTAAAGTAGATTCTAAGAAAGWATTTATTTCAGGAATTTTTCACCCATCCTGAAGAATGCAACTTCCAGCTTCTGCTGGGAATCTATATTCTATTTAAGATGATTCTTGTTTTGATTGCTATTGAAAAGTAATGTGTGAAAAAACTTAAGTGGAAAACCTTTGTCTGACTTAGTTTCCCATGGTCCTAAATGTATTTTAAATCCTTAATGAGAAAATCTGTACAATTACCAAGGAGAAACTCTTGCCACATAATGTATGCTAGATCTCTTAGAAGTGTGCTTCTGTTRCTTATAGTTAAATAACTAACTTTCAGGAAAAGTTCTTGCTATGGAAGGTTTTTACAGTGCTCATTCAAACAAAAATATCACACTGAAGTATCTTAGGATTCTTTTATAAGCATCCGTCTTAGTATCTCTTTGTATTGTCTGTTGTGTAACTRAGAGCTTTTATTATACAAAATGTTAGTTATTTGACCATGTAACATCACTTTCCATTTGTGTAACTGAAAAGTGATGCAGTTAACCAAAATTGAATGGACTCTTGTCTGAAAGAGAGGATACCTCTCTATGAGGATGATCTGAAAGAAAGGTCTACTGCGAGATTTTGTAAATGAGAAGTAAAGATGTCCATTGTCATTTTCATACTTCTTGTTCCATGGCTGTTGTACACTACCATCCCTGTTAACAACCCTAGTTGTAACAAGTAACAAGTTGCAATAAGTGTCTGTATTTCTGTGAGACCTTATACCTACATATTGTGTCTTGTTCTCTGTTACAAATCAAACTCTGCCTTTTCAGAGATACCGAAAGACATCTTTACTTSCTCCACCATAGTCTTCACTTTTTAAAAGTGCTCTTGTGCTGAAAGGAGCATGGTATTAGCTTTCATGGACATTGTTGTTCAGCTTGTTCAACAATGTTCAGCTTGACTTGTGTTTACTTCATTTTTCTCTTTGCTGTGTGCTTGTCAAAAGTCCTTGCTACAGATATGTTCTTTTTCTGTTTGTTTGTATGTTTTTATATGTTACTAACTTTATTACTGTTTGATATTTTTGTCCAWGTTTGCACTATAATTGAATTGATAAGATTGCAGTTAGTGACTGAGTTGTCCATTGAGAGGTTCTGTGGTTATCTCTTCTTGCTTGGACACTGTTTTAGAGAGGCAGCTCTTGTATGTCACATGCATTTTGCTGGATTTCCTGAGGAAGCAATACTTGTGCAATTGTACTGTCTGTCTCTGACGGTTCCACACACCCAGCAATATTGGAGCCTATTGTCTAATTGTTGCTGAATCGACATATAAGAAGACAGAAGGATGTTATTTTCTTTGATGTTTTATGAAAGATAGGCAGCTATCTAAGGAAAATTGCATGCATRCAGACTCTCAAGATGGAAGCTGCAATGTGAATTTCACTATATGAGGTGCCAGCAAATCAGTGCAGAAATTCATCCACAAAACACACTCATAATAAACAAGTCTTCAGTCTTTCTGCTTATCAGAAAACTACCCTTTCTAAATCTGAAGGGTTTGGGAAGGAAAATTTCTTCTTTATATATGGGTATTAACTTCATTTCCTTAAGTAAGTGATAAAGTTGACTATTGACTGCTGTTTACTAGTTCTAGTACAAGCTGAACCCATGGSAGTCTCAGTCAAAGTTGGTTCCTGATATGCTGGAGTATCTTATAGTGACAGAATGCTGCTGTTCTTCACATTTTCCATAATTGTTCCTGTYCATTCTCTTCTGTCATATGAAGATCTCTTTCCCTTCTTCCTCTGCTACCTGTCTTCCCTGTCTGCTCTTTCTTTCCACTTCTATCAATTTCCATTTCTATTCCCTTTCTTTCCCTCTCTATCCCATTCTGTCACACTTTCTCTTACCCGTCACTCTTTCTTGCTCCCTTTTTCAACTACTTTCATCTGTCCCCAACTAAYGTGCAGTATGGAAATAAAGTTAAAAAGTACTTTGAACAACTTTGAAGGGTGTATTTTACATGATCTTCGCAAGCATGTGGCAAACAAGTGGTCAGTAGCAAGAGYAGAGGATGACTACCTGTTGTGAGAAACAATAGTCTGTGTGTGAAGCAGTAGTGTCCCTCTCTCCTGCATAGAGATGTTGATTTAAATTGATCATAAAAGCTTAATTGTCTTAGTCATTTAAACAAGATAGAGACCTTTGCAGTTTAACAATGTMATAAAGATTGTTTACTGCAGTTTCTGTTCTGATAATGCTGAGAACATTTTCTGTCAAGTTCTTTAAACAATTTGTTCTCTTTATACGAAGTAACGCTTCTCTCAAATGAGTAGTGTTCTCTCAATTATTCTCACAATAATTTGTGAAATGCTCTTTTAAGAGACTCACTTTTTCAATTGCAGTCCCTGAAGTTTTGTTTATCACTAATACTGAACACACATACTGTTTCTGCATCCCTGTTACATTTATCTAAGAAATAAAACTAATAGGTTCGAATTCTTCCATTTTAACCTGTGCTAATGTGTAGGAGGGTCTGTGGTGAATATTTGTTCTCTTTTTGTCTGCCATGTGATCATTCTGGCTAAACTCAGCTTTTTATAAGGATCTTYAGAAAAATTCAGAATGTGAAACATAAAATAGTACAGAAGAAAAGTACAAGTACCTACTCCCTCTCCACAGATCTCTCAGTAGAGATCACATAATTGTCTAGAGAGCTTGCTCAAGGATTACAGAAAAATACCTTTGTAGCACTGCCATTCAGACACTCGTGAGTTCCTGTTTTAGAGGAAATACCGCTTCTCTAACTATGTAGAACTTTCCTCTTATATGGATTTTCTCAGCTCAATCAGTAGATCARCATCAAAGATTATCAGTTACTTGTTTGAGCTTTTATTTATAAGTTAACCTGTATGCATCTGTAACCCTGGAAAAGCATTTGTTCCAGGAAAATTTTTGCTTAAACATTTTGCTGGACAGTAATTTAGGTGAGGGAATGTGATGAGAGTTTTAACTGGTTSAAAACATTGAAAGTGCTGCAGAACAAACACATTTAGAATTATTTGGACCTAAAATAGAAGTCTGTTAGTCCACCTACCTGTCTGATTTTGATGTTCATCTTTCAGCTTTCCTGCATGTACTTCGTTTTCTTTCAGAACACCATTCACAGGGAGATCTCCTTACTGTTTTATATCTCTCCTAGCCCAATTTGATTCATAAAAGCAGCTCAGTTTTCTGTTAATGCTGTATTTAGACAACTTTTCAGTAACTCAAGAAAATAGAAAARGCTTTTAAGGTAACTGTTAAAAATTGCATTTGCAGGCTCTGAAAGTGCTTCTCCAATCCAATCTGCTCTTGGATCCCGATCACAGACACCCTCTCCTGCCACTCTTCATGCAGATCATATTGAGCAGAAGGATCTGCAACTGGATGAGAAGCTCCACCACTCTGTTTTACAGACGCCAGATGACCTAGGCAATATCTGGAATAGCAAATACAAACCTGTTCTTTCTTTCTTTCTGATGCAATGTAGTGAAGTAGCTAGTATCACATGAGTTGTAAACAATCCTGTAGAAGGCTATTTCATCTGCACTTTAAAAAGTATTTAATTACAGTGATTTCTTTTAAAAGCAAACAAAAACCTTTTGCCTTTTATCCTGCTTTTCAGTGGAATTTTTAGCAGTGGGTTAATAGTCCATGTATTTATAATTGTTCTTTTAGTTGCTTAGAATTGTGGCAGCTTAATCTAGTATGTGGTCCTGCATGGACTGTTTTATCATTGATGTACAAATAATAAGACATAATTTTAAAGTAATGTTACAGTTTGTCCTTGGAAGTTTGGTTCTTTTCCCTTCATATTTAAACAAAATTGTAATTACATCAGCTATCTTAGCTATTGAATTCAAAGATATATTCCCTTTGTAAATACGATGTTCACATTTCTCCCGCATTTTGTCTCATGGAAACAGAAGGGTGTCTGATATGGATTTCAGATCCTATTTTTTTAAGTAGCTTACTGATGGACAGAAATGCTATAATTGTGYTTTGTACTTTAAAATCTACAGCCTAGAAACCAATAGTGTCTCTACCACAGAGGCTCAGAATTTCAAAAGAAGAGGCTATATGATTAGGCTGAATTCARATTTAATTTTGATATGGTTTGCCTGTGGGAGCTACAAGATTTTCAGAAGATCCCAKCAAATTCTGGTGCTGTGGTGTTTTAAAAATCCATCTGAGGGGATGGAAAGAAGATTCTAAATGCCTGCTGCTTTAAAACTGGCTCATTATCTAGTTTTTTAGTGGCTGTTTAGGTGTTAAGCATGAGCTGAGTAGACTTGAGCCATCATAATCTATTGAAGGTTTCTTTATATGAACAGTCTAGATCAATAATCTTCCACCTAAAAAAGAATGTTTATTCATATAGCACTGATGTGTGGAAAGAGCTAGGTGGGTGTTAGGGTTGTGGTGCTACATTACTGAATGTTGTCTCTCCACTCATACAGATTTACTGTTTAAAGGACACCTAGCTAAAGACAAGTTTACTCACACCTTTCTCTTCAACTTGCAGTAAAATGTGTTCCTAGTCAATTCTAAGAAAAATAGTCTTTATGTTTTATTAGGRAACATGTAAAATTGAAAAATAATTTTACTTGAAAGCAGGCAAGTGGAATTCTGGAGATTCATTGACTTCAAAGAATGTGAGGAAAGATTTACAAAAGGAGCGGCCCTTCTGGGTCCATCATATCTGTTTTAGAGCTCCAGTAGTGACCTTAAATGTTATTTAATGAAAGAATATAAGAAGCAGGACAATTCTTCCTCTACAGAGTTTATAATAAGCAGAGCTTAACATATACAGTGTTGAGGTGGCTGAATGGATAAAAAATAGCTTATTCTGAAAGCCCGAACTTTTAGTTTTAAGAAGACACTGTATTTAATAGTTGTATCAGAACTTTTCCTTCTCTGGAGAGGTATATCTCACTATATTTTTTTTTCTTTTGTTACAGAAACTAGTGAATTCCCCTCAGAATGTTGCAGTGTGATGGCTGGGGGAACACTTACAGGATGGCACGCAGATGTTGCTACTGTGATGTGGAGGAGGATGCTTGGAATTTTGGGAGATGTCAACAGCATCATGGATCCAGAGATTCATGCCCAAGTTTTTGATTATCTGTGTGAACTGTGGCAGAATCTGGCCAAGGTAAAATAATTGAACATTTTCTCCAACCTGACCTGTTTGGGCAGGATTTTCAAAAGGAATGAACCACACCTTATATATTTCCCTTAAATAATTCTTTTTTTGTTGTTGTTTTTTTTTTAATAATTGCAGATAAGAGACAATCTTGGTATTTCAACAGATAATCTAACCTCACCATCTCCCCCAGTTTTAATTCCACCACTGAGAATTCTAACACCATGGCTCTTCAAGGTAAATTTGAGCATTAAACTGTGAAACAGAAATAAAAATTAACATAAATGTAGAAGAATGTTTAATGTAATTTTTTACTTACAAATAATAAATATTGTTCTAAAACTATAGGCAACAATGCTGACTGATAAATACAAACAAGGAAAGCTACATGCGTATAAACTTATTTGTAAGACAATGAAGCGAAGACAAGATGTTTCTCCAAACAGGGATTTTTTAACTCATTTCTACAATATAATGCACTGTGGACTTCTTCATGTGGATCAAGTAAGTTAATTATGAAATTCAAGATAATGTAAACGTAATAACTGAACATAAAGTTCTTCTCTCAGAAATACTTGATGTATTTCTGAGTAATTTAACTTTGTTTTTGAAATTAGTTATGTGACTGAGACTTTTTAGAAAAAGAAAACTTTGATAAATGATCCTCATGTTCTTGGTTGTATTCAGAAATGCTTTTTTTGTAGTCCATGTCAAGCAAATGTGAGGGCAGAAAAGGTATTCTCTCATTTTTTATCGATTGTATGTTACAGATTGAAGTATGCAAGAAAGAGAAGGAAGCAGATCTCTCTAAAGTCTACTGTTCTTCTTACTTGCTCCCTGATGCAACAGTTTAGCTAGTAAATTGTGCTCACTACATTGGAGGACTTTGTTTCTACAGCAAGTATAGGAATCAGCAAATTGAGATGTACTGAGCGTATCTGATCAGTGGGAGTAGATATTTTTCATAGGTTTTAATGTTAAGAAGTCTGAAAATATTGTGTAGCTTAAACACTTTCTAAAGGTTTTCATCAGAAGTGTAAAAAAGTTGTGTTTATGAACTTTTTTGAGGAGTGGTTATAGGAATGGGGAGACCAAAGGTTCAATATGCTCTGTTTTCTTTAACTGGGAAAAACAGAATTAGTCCAAAATCATTCCACAGATGGCTGTGGATGGGACAGATCTCTAGTTTCTGTATTCTAACAACCAGTTAATGGTGTTTTTCTTGCTGGATTGAAGATCTTCCTATGACATACTGCCATTTAGTTGGCTGTTACTACTAGTGGAGAGTTATTCAAAGGAGAAAAGGGGGGAGGGGTTGCCTATCTGTAAACTTGGAATGTTTTTTAATAATTAAAGCACTTTATACCTTTTCAAGTACTTTTGAAGAAATCGCATCATGTACAGTAATTTTTATAAGTGCCTCAGTAAGTCTACAATAACATAATACGTTGTGTTGATTGACTACATACCATTTGATACCGCTAAAAACATTTTATTATCTTTCTTTAAATTTTGGTTCCCTATGGGTATATATAAGAGTCTAATACCTCTTTTAAAGTTAYGGTCAGGCAATAGTTGTTGGAGAGGAGTAAGCAGTTGTTAAGAAAGTATAATAGCTGGTTATCTTTCTATATYTCTTCTGTACCTATTCAGATGAATGGTTAATCAGTTATAGAACTGTTAAAAGCTGAGTGTAAGTTAATGAACTATTGTCCAAACTTAAATTGATCTATGAAGTATACCATGATTCAATTACATTAATATGAGTATATCTGAGGAATTTATCTTWTTATGCTACTCTTTGCTCACTAATAAGTGTCTTACTAGCTGCAATGAGTTTTCTTTCTCACGTTTTTACTTAGTACGTTTGATAAATAACCTGCCTTTTTTCTATTCATTTTTCATCTTGATTTGTGTTGATATTCATCCTTTTTTCCCTTTTCCTTCTGTGAGGATATTGTCAATACAATCATCAAGCACTGCTCTCCTCAGTTCTTTTCACTTGGTTTGCCTGGTGCTACCATGCTTATTATGGATTTCATTGTAGCAGCAGGAAGAGTGGCTGCATCTTCTTTCCTCAATGTAAGTATTCATCAGTTATTCTCATGGCTGAGGAAGAATTTGAGAGAATACTGTGCAATATTTTTCTTGACTAGGGTGTTAAATTGATCCCAGAATTCAATGCAATGGTTATCAAATACAGATAATGRCAGTGATTTATTGTAGAACACTACAAATACCTCTTCAGAAAATATGTGAAGAATGCAAAAATTACTGTTGAAGAGTGAATCTTCTTTTATTTTAGAGTTACAAAAATTGTGACTGCCATTTTTCTGTGCTTGAAGATATTTTAAAGTATATGACCATTTTGACTGTTGTTTCATTTTTGAAAATGTCCTTACTCCTTCATGTCTCTGCTATGCAATGACTTTTATGATCAGGCTTGGGAACTCTAATCTGCTAGTGCCCACACTATCTGGATTTTTTTTCGCATTTCTGATATTGTTACTCAAGCAAGTTCAGCCTTATGTAGTAATACTGATATGATTACCTAGGTGCTATTGGCCTTGCATATMGTAGTCTCTCAAATCCCCCAGTCTCCTCCAAGTGTCTGTGAATTTTGACTCTTTTTCACATTAGTCCCTCTCTAACCAGCTATGAAATCCARCCTCCTCAAGGTACTGTCTGAAGCCTCTGTCAGCTTCTTACAGCATAGCCTTTCCTTTCAGCAATGACTTATGTCACATTTAGTAGTTTTCYACATCCTGTTCAATTAGTTGAACCTAAGACCTGAGCCTAGTTAGCATCTCAGTCATTTGTCTGTAGTCCTAAMAATTCCTCTGCTTCTTTTTGTCTGTCTTGGAAAATGGGAGCAGGGGTGTTCATGAGTAGCAATGCAAGGGGCTGTGATCTTTGCAGGATGTGCAGGAGAAAGGAAATAGCTGTGTACAATTTCAGCTGTTTTTCTCTTTTAAGGCAGCTAGAAATGTCAACTTCCTGATTGCAATAAGAATATDTATTTCTCCCCACCTTTTTTTTAGGCACCAAGAGTTGAAGCACAGGTTCTTTTAGGATCTCTTGTCTGTTTTCCCAATTTATATCATGAACTACCAGCTCTTCACCCAAATATTCCTGACATTGCTGTGTCTCAGTTTACAGATGTTAAGGTAGGAATTTTAAGAATATTTGGCTACTATTCTGTTACCAAATAYATGTTTAATATGGTGCTTTTCCAGAAAATATGAACTAAAATTTTAAGATCCTAAATTTTTTCGAAAGTAATTTCAAATAGATTATAAAACTCAAGATACCATAAAGTCTTGTCAAACTTTATACTTCTAAACATATTTTATAATTGGTTTTAACTTCATAATAAAGTCTTTTCTTATGTTTATAGAAGGAAATGATACATTATCTCACCCTTTCAAGCCTTGTCTCACTYAGGCTATTGGCAGTACCTCAGATTTAATTAGCTGAGATCAGAAGATTGTGAGGCTTGACATTTATTATTTAATTTATTGAGAGTTCAAAACTTGTGAAATCTTCCTGTGTTCCTAAGGGCTTTAGAAAATTTCTGTACAACAGTGTGTTTTTTTAGCCAAAAGGCAAATATTAATGGAGTCCTTACCTTGTATGACAGTATCACAGTATCACACTGCTAAGAGCTCAGTTTGTGTGCCTAAGAGAGTCTCCCCCTAAGTTTTCCAAACTGTTTCAATTTAGGGAGAAATGATGACTAGAGAGCTGCTTTATACCTTGCTCCCCTTTGGAGACTGATTTTGAATTCCTTCTTTCTCATTTCTATTATATAATGTCAATTTACTTGAATTTTATTAAGGGCAAGCTACACTTTAGGGACATGTCACTGCAGTTGAGTCAAAATTCTCTTTGATGGAATTTGTAAGGTACTGTAGTCACTTATTCTGCAACTAGTTGCAAATACTTTTAAAATCAATTAATTTTTTAATCAATTAATTTTAAAATGCTTGCTTAAACCTCAAAGTAAAGGATTCTTTCTGTCATACTCAGCTTCAGGGAATCCTTTACTGTTTCTTTTTTTACCACTGATATTTTATGGAAATGTTTCRACAAGAATTGGCGAAATGGCTCATCAGCAGAAATTAGGACAGTAATTTATGGGATATTCTTGGGTAGCACAATAATGGGTATCTGGGACAGACAAGAAGTTTGAGGTAGTGGTAAGCAAACAGTTCATCTGATCCCAACCTAAAGACTCAGATAAACAATATGCCTGTGTGCACTAATAATATTCTGATGCTTTATGTGATGGAGTTACATATAAATCAGTGATTATTTTCCTCTTCATTTTAGGAACTCATAATTAAAACTGTGTTAAGTTCAGCAAGAGAGGAGCCATCTGGTCCTGCACGGTAGGTCATACAAAAAGAGATTCTACATTAATAAATTCTTTTATTTATTAGACTGTTTTGAGGTGGATATGTTAGAGAGCTGCAGGTAGAAGTTTGTGTGCATTTCATTAGTAGTTTTCTTCACCACCATCAAAACTTTTGTCCATGATGTGAATTTGAAATTGTTTTTAATAGGATATTAATTACAAATAGTTATGGGCTGGTCTAGTCCAGTATTCTATGACGATGGGTGATGGGAAAGGGYGTAAATATGGGTAAGAGAATAAGCTTTCTCAACCTACCCTGGTGTTCAGCTCAGGGATTTTCTGAACTAAAGAGGCATTTTACTTTGATGAAGGTCAAGATTATTTGTGAGGAAGGTATAGTTATTTTTTATTAGATCACATGATTTAATTTGGAAAACAGAAACAACCCAATATACATGAACCCTTTATGGTASGAACAAGAAGCAGAAAAAACTGAGCTAAGCATTAAACTAGGATTGTGAAATAAGTTACAACACTATAAATATTTTTGTGCGGTTGTTTTGGAAATACTAAAAACATATTTGTTGTTATATGYCTTTAGCAAGACAAATGAATCATAGAAATGACACATTTTTGTAGAGTATCTCTCAACAACTTGTCTTCAACCTTGTTTTACAGATGTGTTGCTCTTTGCAGCCTTGGTATTTGGATCTGTGAGGAGCTAGTTCATGAATCACATCATCCTCAGATCAAGGAAGCATTGAATGTGATTTGTGTTTCTTTAAAGGTGAGAGAATTAAACTTTTACAATGTATATTGCCTTTACGTGTAAAGACACTTTGCCTTTTCAAAGTCATGATGACATTTTGGCGTCCTTAGTTTGCAGTCTCATTTGCCATCCTTACAAAAGACAGAACTCAGTTTATCGAGTGGATCTCTGAAATGCCGAAAGTTCTTTACCCTTCTTTTGTTTTGGAGGGAATGGTGTGCTGGGAGATAAGACAGCATCTTTTCTTAATATATATCATTAGCCATTCTATACCCTTTGGAGCATAACAGTTTCGTGCATCACCCATCTTTCATTTATAATCCTTGCAATTCAGGTTTCAGCAAAACCACTACTATCTCTGTCTGATTTTGTTCAGCTATATGCCTTACCCACAACCTGGACCCAAGCTTCCAGCAGGGTTTCCTGCATCTATTTGTAACTACATCTTGGAGCCTTGTGGATTAACCTTAAATTAGGGCCAAACTCCCACTCCATTCCCACTTACTCACCACCTCTCCTCAACAGGACAGGGGGACAAAACAGGATGAAAAATCTTGTGAATCATGATGAAGAGTGGGAGATTGCTTGCCAGCTACCATGGGCAAAGCCGATTTGAAGTAGGGAAGTTAATTTAATTTATTGCTAGTTGAATAATTTGGGCAGTGAGAAAAAAAAGAAAATGTTTAAAATACCGCCATTCCCTGCCTTCCGTTTCTACTTCACTCCTTCATTTCCAGCTTTGTTTCTGCYCCCTCCTGTCCGCTCCTGACTAGTGTAGAGAAGATGGGAAATAGGGAGTCATGATCAGTCCACYGCAGTAATGGTCTGCCACTCCTTCCTCCCTCCTTTCACTGGATGCAGTCCATCAGGATAAGCCTCCTTCTTTGTGGACTGCCCACAGACAGCACTCAAGAAATACCCAGTGCTACAGTGTGGAGTACCCCAGAGCTGCAGTGTAGCTATCTCCACTGGCATGGCCTTTTCCATAGGCTGCAGAGAAATCTCTATCTAGGCTTGGAGCACCTCCTCCCTCTCCTCCTTCTGTGACCTTTGGGTTTGCCTACTGTTTCTCATTTCTTTTTTTTTTTTTCCCTTCTCTGCCTATGTGGCATTTTTACCCTTTTTWAAATATGTTTTCACGAAGTCACCACATACTTGGCAGATGTGTTCTGCTGTTCTTTGGTGAGTCGTTGCAGAGCTGGCTGTTTCTGGCATGGGGCAGTCTCTAGCCTTTTCTCACACAGAATCCCCTGTGGATTCTCCAGTACCAAGGTCTTACCATGTACACCTAGTAGAGATCCATACAAAGACACTGGAGTACAAAAGTGTTGGAGATTTTAATTCTGCAGCATTTGTGTCTTCTGCTTAGGATAGTCAAGGTTGTCAAAGTCAGTCACATACCTTACTAATTGGCGTCCTGGGTTATGAATACTCTAAAGCCTCCATGGTACATTCTCCTGTGACACTGCAGAAGAAAAAGGCCRGGGTAGAGATGATATTGGAAGGAATCCCAGTTTTGGGAGCCATCTGCCATATATACATGAAATGGTTCCCAAGCTAAGTTGCTGCCTGGTACTCTTYGGCTACTGACTGAGCAGAGCATCCACTGTAAGAGGGGGACAGGAAAGGAAGTGGGAAGGTGACAAGTGCAGTGGCCAAACTGGCTTCCCGAAGCTTGTCGTGCTTCTTGTGCACCTGCCCTCTTCATCCTCCACCATCCAAATCCCATTATTCCCATATCCTCACAACATTTTGTGCAGGTTCRCTTCTGAATTTGAGAGTCATTGCATTATGCAGTATTGTTTCTTAGCCCTGCTAGATCTTTAGAGAGAAATGCAGAGTACTTATAATGTATGCATGGAAACACTGGGGGATATTTAATTTGCTGTGGTAGCATCCTCTTCTATGCTTATTTCAGGAGCTGCATCTTTTTGGSTTTTTTTTCCTTGATGAGTGTTTTTGTTTTCCCACAATTTTAAGTCTTTTTGCATTTTTGCATCTTGTTTTATAGAACAATTAAAATAATAGAAAAAATATTTTATTTTTAAGCTTTTTTTCAAATATGCATGTTTGTGAGCAATAGCTTCAACTTTTTAAATGTTCCCCAGTTTATCTTCAAAACCTGTGTACTTTTGTTTGCATCAAAATTCTGTAAATGGTCTAGTCTTTCTGTATATACACATCGATAAAAATTGGAGTGTACACCTGTTACATATGACATCTGTCGGATGCTGGGGATTATTATTTTCTTTTAAGCAATGGGAATCTGAAAAATATCTTAACTGATCAGCTGCTCACATCTTCTGAAATAGGATTTGAGTCTCTGTATGAAAGAGGTAGCTGCAGGGCTTTTAGTATTAGACTCTAAATTGCAATATCCTGTTTGGCAAAATCACATTCATTCTTTGCAGCTCCACTAATACCCTCTTCCAGGGTTTTCCCTTTGTTTTTAATAATGCTTAACTTTTGCATTTTATCAAGTTCCTGTGCAAGTTTGGTATTARGCAAATGATGTTTTTATTTTGCTGGTTTAATTTATCAATATTTGAGCTATTTTTCATCTTGAAATTCATAGTGATTTATCTTCTTTTTCTCTGATGTATTTATTAAACCAGTTATTTGTATCTCGTTTATATTAAACATAAATTACTTTTTGAATGAGGAAACAAGGACCTTTATATTTCTACTTTAYTTCGCTTTGTGATGGCAAAACAATCCAGTGCACATTGTCTTTTTTTCCAGTTCTGAGCAATGGTATACATTCACAATTGAGTTTAATAAGGAAATGAAAAGTTCCTTAATATGTCATGGGAGAAATAAATTAGCTCTAATTTGTTACCTAAGCAATCTCCTGGCTACCAAGTAGTCAGAGGTTTGAACTCCCAGAACAGATTATTTTCTTATTTTCAGGAGAAATGAATGGGTAGGAGCTATAGGCCTAGTCCAACTTACTGATAAGTCCAACTGAGCAAATAACATTGAATAGAAAGGTTAGCAGCAATTAAATGTTTATTTTTGGAATACCAGAAGCATATTCAGAACTGCAGTTCAGCAGCTCGCTTTGAATAAAGCTAGTGCTTCTCCCAGCTCTGTGGCAATACTGCTCTGTCTGCATTAACCCCTTCTGAAACTTGAGCACAAAGGATCCTAACCAGCCATCCAGACCTATGATTTGATTATGCTTCTCTCAAAAATGCTACTGATACATCACAAAATTGTGTTGTACAGACTTAGTTGAATGAGTGCTRAACATAGGTTATTTTCAAGCATGGACAAGGTTAAATTCCTCATTTAACATTCAGAAAGAATGGATCCTTGCAAAGATGAACCATATGGTAAGACTACCTTTCCAGGAAAAACCCTGGGAGCTGGGAAACAGCCAGTRTGCCAGTTTGTTGGCATCTTTTTTTTTCCCCCCATCAAATAACTTTTCAAAAATTATGTCCACATAAATATAAAAGTAGAAAATTCTTGCACTTTATAACATACGGWATTTTCCAGAGACAAAGAATGGCAGATGAAATGTTTATGGCATCACACACGTGTTTCCATGTCACCTCTGAAAGTTCTTGTGAACGAAGTCAGAACCAAATGACTGACTTGAAAGGGGCAAATTGTTTCACTATCTAGCACATACTCAGTTGCTACTTGAGTTCAGGCAAATGCCCTTCCAGTACCCTCAGCTCTCTAACTGTTTGTTCTGAAGTGTCTGAGTGTTTGTCATGGTTTAAGTTCAGCTGGAAATCAAGCGCCACGCAGCCCCTTGCTCACTCTCCTTTTGCCCCTCCCATTGCAGTGGAATGGGGAGGAGAATGAAAACAAAACTTGTATGTTGAGATGAGAAGAGTTTCATRACCAAAAACAACGTAAATAGCATAATAAGGGTGAATGATAATAATAATGATAATAAAAAGAGAAAGAAATAAAAAGCCCAAGTGATGCACAATGCATTTGGTCACCACCTGCTGACTGATACCAGACCCCCTTCCCAAACCCAGACCAATCCTCTCTCCAGGTAACTCCCCCTGGTTTCTATAATGGTCATAATGTTCTGTGTTGTGGAATATCCCTTTGGTCAGTACAGGTCACCCATCCCAGCTGTGCTCCCTCCCAGTTTCTTTTGCCAACCGCCTCACTGGCACATTATGAGAGAAGAAAAAAAAAAGTCCTTGACTTAGGATTAACACAGCTTAGCGAAAACCAGCGAAAGACATCACTGTGTTATCAACACCATTCTCATTCTGAATCCAAAACACAGCACTGCAAGAGCTGCTGAGAGGAAATTAACTCTACTCTAATTGAAACCAGGACAGCAATCTTTTGAAATGTGATATATTCACCATGCTAGGACAACTTTCTGAAGCAGATGAAAGGTTTGAGCTATTTCAGCCAGTTCCCACATTCTTGATCAAACCTTCATCCCTGATGCTCTTCCCATGAATAAAAAAATATTAGGTGTGCAAGATTAGATTTTAAATTTATTCATATTCATCACTTTATACACTTTATGCAAAATTTGTCTCCACTTACTTTTGTTCCTYTCTTAAATAAAAAATCCCACCTTTCTTCAACTAGAGTACAGAAGGAAGTTAACTGAATTGTGTAAACCACCCCTAAAAACTTTTCATTCATCTTCATTTTAGAGCCTCTTTAGAAGAAGTCCTTTAAAAATTTAAAAACAAAAAAAAAACCAACAAAAACTTTGTATTTTTAAGTAGTGAATCGCTGATTATTCAGTGGCTCTGAGAAGTCTCCAGATCTTTTTCTCAGGTAATCTTTTTCTACTTTCAGTGATCTGGATGCTCTGTATTAAGCTACCTCACAGTTTCTCCAACCCCTTTTTCTTCTCCAGTGACTCTGAGGTGTTCCTGCAAGTTTGTAAGGATGTTCCTAGCATTTTGGATTTGATCTCAAATTCTGTATTCGAATTGTCATGCTTTCAGTTTTATTTCATTATTTTTGGTTGTCATTCAAGCTTGCGCATTAGAATCTGTACCCTGCTTACTGTGCTCTTGCAGAGTACTTTCACAGCTGTCTCATGAGGGTTAAAAATATAATGGTGTTCTTGTCATAAACTCTGAAGACTTGCAGATGTGTGATGWTCACTGTTTTTAGTTAAAAGCCAACAATAGCATGAGGCTATGTCTACTGAGAAACAAGGCAAGTCAGAAAGGAGTTAATTACCCATTGTGACATTCTGGTTTCTATCTCTGTGGATGACTTACAAAAKCCATTCATAGTCTTTCTTTTTGCTTACAAAGATACCACAAATAAAAAATGTTAATTAAAACTTGTACTCCATACTTTTCCATATGCTTGTGCCATTTATTTTCTTTTCAAGACTTTAAATGTATAAATTGATAGCTAATTTTATTCTAAAATCTTTACTATTCTGCTCAGGCTTCATTGCCCAGGCATTTCTGCTTTCTTAAAGCTTTGGATTTTTTGAGTTTGAGTGCGATGCATCTTTCTCTGAAGGGTTAATATGAGTGTTCTGAGGAAGAAAAAAGCCTATGAAGCCAAGAAATCATATCTAAGTGTTTTTGCAGCATAATTGCCCTTTTCTGAGTTCAAAGGTAGGCAGCCATCTTGCAGCACATACCTGCTTCACTGCTGAATACGGTGAGATTGAAACAAGTAAACTACTGTCCTAATAATGGATGATTTCACTTGTAGTATTAACTTTGTCCTTGTCATTTGCTGCACACCTTAATGTTTTAAAGAAAGTGCAGTGAAGGTAGAAAATTCAATTACATGTCCTGTACATTAAGAATTTGGGAAACATATCCTCTTCTTTTAATTTCTATGTTTTCCCACTTGGGAGTGTAGAACAGAGTGTACGTTCCCTCCTAAGGCTGGGAATTAATTGTACAAATGTGTTTGCTTCTACTTTGAGCAGCACAGTAACTGTGGAAGGCAGAGCAGCAATGTTCTCCTGCCTTTAAAAGACAGAGAAAAGCAGAGTTAAGCACAAAAGCTGAGGTGAATTCATTTCCCTTCTAACAAATGCTGGGCACAGCAGTTGCTGGCAAAGAGCAGAACAGTTCATCTCATGTTTAGTACTATAGGCTGCATTTTGGGCGTGTGGCTCTTCACCTGCTTTGATTCTCAGCAAAGACCTCTGGTTTCAGAACTGGAACCTTGGGGGTTTTTGCAGTGATTCATTACTATTAATAATCCTTAAGGTAACATGAATTCTTTCTTCCTGGCTTTATGATATTATACTAACCAGCCTGAAGTTAGTTAGGAGACACCTCTCCCCTTTCCAATGTGCAGCCTATTTGATATCTGTCCCAAAACTTTRGTGTTAGCTGCCAACATTTGTTTACTAATATATAACAATTCCTTGTAAGTTTGGTAAAATTTAATTCTGTTCCTCTGGTAAATAGGTACTTAAGGAATTATATGTATTAAACTACCACTGAAGTTTGCCGCTGCACTACTGCCTAATGCACTCTTACATGAAATCATTTTGTCATTATTACTGTGCTGTGTTCTGTTTTCTAGTTTCCAAATAAAACAGTAGCCCAAGTTGCCTGCAGTATGCTGAACATGCTGATCCATTATGTACATAGACTTCAACTGTATCAAGCTGATTCACCTTTAAGAATTATTCAAGTAAGTATTTTTTTTTATTTGAAATTTTCAATTATTTAAAAAGAAACACTAAAATGTATTTCCCTAAAATTAAACACTTGAATATTGACAATTTTGTTTTGCAAAACACTGAATTAGTATAAACATAGTTTTACTTAACACTAGCAGTAGAGATTTGCAGCACATTTACTTCCTGAGTCCAGTATTGACATGTAATGTGTCTATATCATGCCTGTTTTTTCTCAACAGAARATACATGAGAATGTTGTCAATAAAGTACAATTTTATTTAGTATTAAATATCTTCAAACATGTTTATTTAAGTTTCGTGAAAAAGTGATTGCTTCAAATATGGATCTGCAACTGTATTTTGAATATCCATTGAAGAATTTCAGTATAAAGCAAAAATAATATTTTGGATACACTTGCCATAACAAAGAGGTAGACCATGGCCTTTGTGAGTCTGAACCACAGAGAAAAGACGAAGTCTCCCAGGTTCTTTTCATGTGAAAGTTTCCTAAGAGATGTAGCAAGTGTTCCTGTGCTTCTCTACAGTCATACTTTTGTTCAAATAGAGACAGGGTATATACAAGTTCTAGTAGTTCTAAGAAATAATGTAACTCAGCACCATACACAAACCAGGATCAGATTCCTTCCTGTGTCCTACAAATGTGTTGAATCAAGTTCTCTTCCTGCCTGAATATTTGGGGTACCTGTGTAATTTCACTGTCCTATGTCAGTCAAACAGAACATAGTCCATCAATGTATTCTAGAAAACTCAATTAAAAGTGGTTTGTTTGTTTTTTTCAATTGTCAAGGAGTACTGTAACTTGTCTCAAAATAATTTTACAGAATTTAACCATGAATCTGGTATCATGTCAGATTAACCTACTTTAAAATTATTTTAAATGTAAATATTTAGGCTATATTTTAAAAGAAATATGGTGTATTTCCCCAGATTCTGATAGCAACTATTACACATCTGCTACCCAGTACAGAAGCTTCCTCTTATGAGCAGGACAAGAGAGTAAGTACTTTTCATTTCTAGTACTTTCTGCCTTCTGAATGCTGTGTCTCTTCTGAATTGTTTAGCTTTGCTCTGGGGCTCAACAGGTTGTTTGAATTTGGGCACTTTGGTGCAGTTTGTTGCTGACAGCTCCGTCGTTCTGGGCTACCAATTCCCATAGGAGCTGAAGTTCATCTACTGCTCATTTTGGCCTCCAGAGCTCTGTTTCATCTGCTGTCTCTGCAAGAAGTCAGGGGCTGTTGACACTACACTCATATGCCAAGCTAGCCACTTTCCCACTTAAAGGATGCTTTCCATAATTGACAAAGTTTCCCCATGAACTACTGTGGTTCATTGTATATCAAATTTCATGTAAAAATTGTCTTACCACATTTGACAAATGTAGTCCCAGTGGGCTTCTTAAAAATGGGTTAAAAATAAAAAGACTCAGTGCCCTTCATAATTAGGTTTATTATACTTTTGAGAGACATACTTGTAGTGCATTATGTGAAATGAGTATATTAGTTAAATAGATTTTTTTTAAAGTCTTCTATTTAACTTGAGAAATACTTTATGGAATCTTGCCACTATTTATCTGAATCATCTTCCCTTCCACAGTTAAGTTTTAAAAATAAAAGATATTTATTTGGTCAATAAGTTATTAATAATTTGGTGTGGATGTGTGTCTTAAACTAATTCTGTTTGAGAGGCTTTCAAAACATCCCAAGAGAGAGTTAATTCTTTTATTAACTAAGTAACCTTACAGAAAGTAGTTGGATTAGTAACTACAGAAAGTAGTTGGATTTTTTTCAGATGATACCTGGTGCTGCATAACATTATTGATAYGTTGTGAAGGACATTCTGTGTTATTTACAAAGCACTAAATGCYGATGAATTCGTTCCATTTTGTGTAATCCTTGATTCACTTTACTGTAAAATTTATGTGCAAAATGGTACCTCAGCCTTAATTTGGACATGTGTTATCTGTCATTTTAAAAACAGCACCTACAATCAACTTTGAAAACTGTGGGTGTCCTCTAAAGTATAGTATCTGCTTACAGTCTTACTGTGATGACAAACAGTTGAATGGATGGCMTTTGTTAGATACCTCAGTAGCAAAAGTTGTTACTGATGCCGTAGGTTTTGAAGATACGGTGGTTAACAAGTGGGACCTGCCATTACTGCAGAAGGTTGACTTTCCTGAATGGAAAAAAGGAAGCAAAACAGAAATAAAATAAAGCAATAAATATGAAGTAGCAGGTGCTGGCTTAATTGATTTATAATGGAAAGTGTTTTTTCCAGTTGGTGGTTTCTTTACTTCTGTGCTTATTGGATTGGATAATGGCCTTGCCATTAAAGACTTTGCTGCAACCTCTTCACACTGCAGGAGGAGAAAATGATAAGACTGAAAGATCCGTTCTTAATTGTATATATAAGGTACATGTTTCTTTACTCACTAATTAAAAATTTCTATKTATGAAGGTAGTGTCAGTTTTCATGAAAATGAAGTCAAAAGGTTTCTCTAAGCTGACCTCCATTCTCCTCCTGAAATATGGAGTGTTGGCTCAGTTCTTGCAGGTTTCACTGTAACACTTGACTTTTGGTATATTTGGAATAGTAGATTTTGTTTTACATTTTGGATAGTTATCCAAGCCTTGTTTTTATATGTCATATGGATTGCAATGCTTGTATTGTAGAAGACTAGCTATACTTTTAATACAAAAGGATGCAACTTTTATATATCAAGCAATTTCATTTAGCAATAAGCAAAGCAAAAAGCACTGAGTTATAATTACTGTCTTTAGGAACACAGAAGAGAGATAGGATTTTTTTTCCTTTTTTGCAAGAGAAGGGGATTAAAACCTCTAGCAGCTTAGACCTAACATATGTAATTAAAGAAGATAGGAGATCTAAAAATAAAGGTAGCTTAATGATTTTTTGTAAGTTTTGTTTCTTTATTGTTAAATTCCACTTTGGTCTAGACTCTCTGTTAATAGTTTTCTTTGTCGACCAGGATTTGTTTCTGTAAACATTAAGCTTGTAAAATTTTCCAATGTTTTGTCATGCCCACCTTCTAACAAACCAATTTTAAAAATGTTAAAAAACCCAACTTAATTTCTTATAAAACTATCAAATACAAATTTCAGCAGTTAATAYAATAAAATTCTGGTTTTTTCTAGGTTCTGCATGGTTGTGTCTATGGGTCTCAGTGTTTCAGCAACCCTAAATATTTTCCTCTCAGCCTTTCTGATCTGGCATGTATGGATTATGATCCTTTTATGCATTTAGAAAGCTTAAAAGAACCAGAACCACTGCATTCTCCAGACTCAGAGAGGTCTTCTAAACTTCAGCCAGTCACTGAAGGTTTGTCAAATTTCCTAAATACATTTTCTTTCAAAAAGATTTTATCTAGGTTTTCAGTATTGAAGTGTTGGTCTAAAGCATAGTTTCTCAGCTATATGTAGACACTAGGTAAGAACCATTAGTACAGAATGAGCAAACATAATTTTGAGCAATTACCATCTGATTAACTGAAATAAGTATGTTCTGAACAACACAAAGATCAATATGATATGGATTCTTCCGTGCTCTGTGTATCAGCAAAATGTTAAGTACTGCAACATGGATAAATGTTGCTTTTCATTTTATTTTCAGTAAATTAATTYGATTTTTTCTTAATCTTGCTCCTTTTTCCAGAAGTATTTTGGATTTTTGTTCCTGTCTGACATTGCAATATTTAATGTTTTCTGTGAATTTTTTTAGTCTATCACAATTTTTTGTTGATCTTTTTTTATACTGCTTTAAACCACAGATTTGTCTAAAGAGAGAAATTTTCTCTCATCTGCTTAGAACCTTAGGAGACCTGGGAGTTAACATTTTTTTGACAACTCAAAAATAAAAATAATTCAGAATCTAAGCTACAGAGGACTATCATATATTGTGCAGTGTATCTAGTAAATATCTACAAATGGCTACATTGGGAAGAAAATTGAAAAAGACGAGATTAAGATATGAGAAACTCTGTGTAGTGCTATTCTACCTCTGTATTAAGTTGTTCCATTTAGGCTTTTTTAAGGGTATTAAGAACCAGATAAATGCAGCAGCTCTTTGTAGCAGCTGTGTGCTAACAGCAGGTGATTTTGTGGTCTGTAGTGACTACGTGCTGTTTTTTATGTAGAGAAAATGGCTAATCATTGTGCCCTTGTCTAAGGCATGCTTCATCATCCTCAAGTACTTTTTTGGCCAAAGAATTCTAAACATAGAGCTGTCTCCTAATAAGCTCAGTATTGGATTGAACAAGTCTGATCTGAGAACTACTGGCAGGAGGAGCTGTAATTATTAAATTTACTGAAGAATGAAGCAAGGTACTATAGTTGGCTTTTCGTCAAATGGCTGTGGCCTTATTAGTAAAAAGTAATCATCTGCAGGGTCAGAATGAAAGAGGCTTCGAAGGATTCATTCTGTCCTAATTACAGTCTCACCTATACATATTATGTAAAGCTAATATTTAAAGCATTTGCCAAAATTTACTTCCACTGCATGTTCTATTACAGTGTAGTGAATTGTAGTAGCTTTTTATGCCTGGCATCTTTTGTATTCCGTAATAATCTGTAATTATGGGTTAGAAGCAAATGCTGTGTGGCTTTTTTAATCTGACAATCTGAAAAGACAACCCTGAATAGATTTCTCTTTAAATGAATAYGCTTGCACAAAGCCTTAGCATCAATATCTTCATTTTGCATTTCCRACCATGATCTTTTCTTTTATGATTTCTTGTTAAATTTCTTAATAAAAGTAATTTCAGATGTTCCTTTTATCTCTCCAGATAAATTAAGTTTCAGGGCTCTGGAATTGTAAGTTAGACTGTGAAATTTAATTGGCAGACTACAGCATTATAATGCAACCCTGGTCTTGCAACCTTGGCACTTCTAGTCCCCATTGCCAGGCAGTGAATAAAATTGGCAGTGCTTAACCGATTGCACAGCATCTGTTCTTCCTGGCATTGTTGGAGGAGTGAGAGGAGTAAAAGTAGTGGAAAACAACCAGTCTGGGTCTCTATCAARACAGAAGGTCAATTATTACAAGCTAGCAGCAGAACAGTATGGCAATGGGTCAACATCTTTTAGTAGAGGAAAGGGGCTATCTCTTTTGAAGGAATGGAAATAAGCAGGGCAGAAGTTGTAGGGAAATCAGGGAATTTTCTAGAGAGACAGAATTGCAAGACTCTTTCCTTGGGTCACAAGCAGAGCTAAAAGTACTGGAATCTTAAGACRCAGAGCTTTAATGGATGTGATTGATTTACCATGTTATGCCTGCTATTGTTCAAGGTCAGATCCATCACATGTTTTGTGGATACTTAGCCACAGCATAATGTGGTATGAGACCAAGAAGATATGGGACTTATTGTGATCCAGCTCTGTAGTGGGGACAGGATCTACTGAGAGTTTTGGAGCAAGCCATGTAATAAACAGCAGGCAAGGATTTTTTAAATCCTCTGGGAACAGGCATATGTCGAGATAGAAGATGATTATTTGTTGCTCTTTTTCAATAACTTTCCAAGTTCTGTCTCTCACAAGAAAAGTCTTAACCTAGGATTATCTGTGAAATTGTGTTCTCCTTTCTGTCGATGCTAAAGTGGTAGATTTTGGTATGAGATAGACAAAGAATAAGTTTGAAATTAGGTATTAAGCATAATAAACTGCTATATTTAAACCAGAATGAAGTTTCAGCAGCTTTCACTAAGGCCATCAGTAGGRAGCTTTCATTGCATCATCAGAACTTGCAGACAGCAAGTCTGTGATGCTTTCATACATCTAAAGAATCACTGGGCTTGTTTACRTGGAAACTGATGAACTGCTCCTCTTGCTAGTGTCATTGGGAACCTGCTCTAGCTAAGTACAAGTGGACAAGTGATGGTGGTGGTTGATCCTGGCTGGCTGCCAGCTGCCCACCAGAGCTGCTCTGTTATGCTCCTCCTCAGCTGGACTGGGGAGAGAAAATACAGTGAAAGGCTCGTGGATTGAGATAGGCAGGAGCAGATCACTCACCAGTCACCATCATGGGCAAAAAAGATTTGACTTGGGGAAATTAATTTAATTTATTACCAAGCACWTCAGGATAGGATAATAAGAAATAAAAGCAAATCTTCAGAACACCATACCCCTACTACCTCTCCCTCCTTCCTGGGCCTAACCTTATTGTGACCCTCTGCCTCCTCCTTGCTCCCAGTGGTGCAGGGGGATGGGGATTGGGGGACTGCAGTCAGTTCATCACACATTGTCTCTGMTGCTTCTTCCTCCACAGGGGAAGGACTTCTCATTCTCTTCCCCTGCCCCAGCATGGGGGCCCTCACTCAGGAGACTTCTGCAACGTGAGCCCTTCCCACAGACTGCAGTTCTTCATGAACTGCTCCAGCATGGATCCCCTCCATGTGGCTCAGCCCTTCAGGCACAGTTTGCTCCAGCCTGGGTCCCTCATTGRGTCACAAATCCTCCCAGCAAATRTGCTCCAGCRTGGGCTCCTCTCTSCACAGCACCACAGTTCCTGCCAGGAGCCTGGTACAGTGTGCGCTTTCCATAGGATCACAGCTTCCTTTGGGAATCCACCTGCTCCAGCATGGGGTCCCCCAGGGGCTGCAGGTGGATATCTGTTCTTTAGTCCCCATGGGCTGTGCGATCGCATCCTGTCTCACTATGGRATGCACCACAGGTTGCAGGGAAATCTCTGCTCTGATGCCTGGAGCACCTCCTTCCCCTCCTTCTTCAYTGACCTTGGTTTGTGTAGAGTTGTTGCTTTCAGATATTCTCACTCCTCTTCTTGGCTGAAATTTCCTTCTACCCAATAACTCTTTTCCTTCTTAACTCTTGTTGTCCCAGAGGCATTGCTGCCATCACTGATTGGCTCAGCCTTGGTGAGCAGCAGGTCCAACTTGGAGCTGGCTGACATTGTCTTCATCAGACACGGGGAAAGTTTTCAGCAGCTTTTCAGAGAAGCCACCCCTGCAACCCCCGCACTACTGAAACCTTGCCACACAAACTCACTCTTCTAATTAACTGCACTGACTAGCCAATTTAGATGTTCACAAGCCAGCCTGGACTACATAGTGCCATGATCTGCTAACTTCTGAACTATTTAATTTCAGGACCATAAACATATATGAAGGAGAATTTTTTTGCAATTATAGAGAAAAACATTTTGAAAGCTGTTCTTCATAGATCACAAATCTGTTAGAGATGTAATTGGAAGGTAGTAGTAACATTACATATATACAGTGGTCTGTCAGTTATTGATTTGATTGATTTTTTTCCCATTACTCACATTTCTCCAAACATATTTTAATTTCTTTTGCATAGATTGATCATTTTTTATAGTATTTTTCAATTTCTATTGAAAAAGTTTTCCTTACCTCATGTTTAGTCTTAGCTTTTGTTTAAAAAGTAGAAATATAAAGTACTTTTATTTTAAGGTTTAGCTGTTTGCCATTTGTCGAGGTTTGGACTGTGCTGACAGCCGAAAGCACTGTACTCACGACGTTCTCTCCCTTCCCCCACCGGAGAGGGAGAAGGGAGAGCGAAAAAAAAAAAGCCCAAATAACACGAGAACTTATGGCTTTGAGATAACATAACATAATTGAGAGAAAGATACGTATGTGCTCCAGAGAAAAAATGGTCAGGCAGGCTGCATAACTTAAGTTGCAAAATAGATTTATTACTACACACTACTAAGAATACTACGACACTGGGGGGGAAACAGAGATAGGGACAGATTTACAAGGAGAAGAGAAATAAAACGGACATTTTAAGACACTTGTTAYCCTTTCCGGGGACCCRTCTCTTTCYCAGCCCAGGTCCCATCCTCCCACTCCACCCCCATGTTTTCCCACACACAAAGGGGGGCWGGAATGAAAGTCTAACACAGATGAAGGCACTCAGTTGTTGTCAAGCGTCATAGGAGAAGAGTTCTTACAGCTCCAAGCAGTGGAAGTTTTATCTTCCCAAGAACAGTTAGTGTGTAGCTGCTAATTGGCAAGGAAAGATCCTTTACCTCGTAGGAGAAAAGAAAGGATGTCCTACAAGGCCAAACTGCGTTGTTTTCAGCGGCGTGAGACCAACATCACATTTCTCCTGGCAGAACACAGCTTCTGTGGCGGGGGCGTCTCTCATTCAGTCCAGTCCTCAAAAGGCCAGGGTTTTTTTTTTTCCTCACAGCAAGGTCATTCTCTTTTTCCTATTCAGGTCTCTCTCAGTCCTTTCCGAGACACTTATTTCCTCCATGTTCGAGAACCACAGCAAGCACAGTCTGCATTTCTTTCTTACATCTCCTCACCCTCCTGCTCTGTTTTTCCCAGTGCAAGATACTAAAACTTCATGCTAACAACCTAAAACTAACATGGCGGCTGCCCTATCTTGTTTTGAATTCTTTCTTAAATACTAGATAATACGTCATCACAGAGGTGTAACCARCCTGTGCAATTGGCCCAGGCCTGATGGGCAGCCTGTCAATCAACCCAGAGCCAATGATGGATTGRCTCTAAAACACAGGGGGCAGGACTCCTTTTGTTGGAGAAGAAGGAGAAAGCTTCCAGAACTTCCTCACAGCAGCCATCTTTGTGGTTTTCTTGGTCCCATCCCCCCACCACCAAAAATCAGACCAAGTAAAACCATGACATCATTTTACTGAATGGAGACAAAATGCACACTTTTCAAAAAACACTTTATACATAGTGCATCCAGATTACCACAGTGATAGGTTCAGTGTAACTGCATGTCTATAGATCTGAAGTTTAAAATTGGTAAGGAATGAGACTTGTTTAAACTAATGTAAAATACAGGAAACTAAGCTAAATGGAACACTCTTAGGCTCCCTCTAAATGTAATAAGGGAAAAAGAAGAGTTTTCAGAGTCTGATTCATCCCATAGCTCCAATTTGAGATTAATTCATCTGTACAGGTCATCATTCTATAGACAGCTGAAAGKATGAGGAGAGTTACACTCTACCCTCAGTCATTACTTTTTTCTTCTACTACATAAACATAATTGTTTAAAACTGTTCAGCCAAAGTTGAATTAAATAGTTAACAATACATCTTAAGGAAATTCAGGAATYCTTTGTTTTTGCCACAGATACAAATTAGTGGTGATGGATCTTCAGCCTTTCCACAAAAGAGGTAATTTCAGGGTCTGAGAAAAATAAATAGTATAACATGCTTCTAGTTAATTACCAAGTGATCATGTACACATATAAATTACACTGCCCAAGCCAGAGGCAGTACCACTGTAAAGAGGGGAGTGATGTGTTCTCTCAGGAAGACAGGTCAACATAGCAGTAAGCTGACTGCCATAATATGTAATGAGATGACTTAGTTTGTAAAATTTGTGCTAATGCTGCGATGGCTGCATTACTGCATATTTTCATTTGCCCTGCAGATGAAAGAGCATGGTTTAAATACTCATTTTACAGGTTTTAATACATTGCATGTCCTGTTATTCCTGATTGAGGAAATGTGCTTCTAGGAATAAATTAAGTTGCAAAATTAATTTTAAATTCTCATAATTTCATAATACATTACCAGGCTTGGGATTTTTTTTTTTCTTTTCTTTTTATTCCTGGGAAACCATCACCAAAATCTGATTCTCTGTGTAGCAAAAATGTTCCAAGATTGCTTTTATTTCCACATAACAGGTTGCATCTTACCATTTACTTTTCAGTATACGACTCTTAATACTTCTAATTTAAGCCTTCTGTGTCATTTTTAGATCAACAAGACTGTATTCCGAGAGAAGACTCATTTTATAAAAGAAGCAATGACAGATTTATGATTTGAATGCAAATGTAAAGTTTTCAGGGAAAGGCTGTATTAGGACTGAAAATGGACCTTCCAAATTTAAATAATTGTTCCACTCTTTGTATCACTGTGTCACCTTTCTTTTCCATGTCTCCGTTAGGCTCCTAAGGGAGTAGATTCACACACACAGGCACAAAACAACCATGGTCAAGTCTGAGTAGAGTCTGCCATACACAGTAACAGCAATAACTTACATCCTAGGAGGGCCTTCTTATTCTTCYGCTTTCTCTGCAGAACTTAATAGGGGACAATTAACCTTCATAGTGTGGGACTTCAGGTGTCTGAAAAGCTTGTGTGTCTTCTCCTGGGATCCTGAGAAAAGTATTACCTTCTTTATCTGTGCAGTGACAAGTGCTAAATACTTGGTATAAATATCCTGACAAAGTTGGACCATCSTCTGTGTTGTCCAGGTGCTGGTCAATAATGTGCTGATAAATGATTCTTCAAGCACACAGCTTATTTTCTCTTTGTTTTGTATAAAATCTGCTTCCAGTTTCTTCTTGTATTTCAGCAGATGGCACTATAACTTAATTTCCTTGTATGCTGTCAATATCTGGACACTTAATTCAGCCTCACTGAATGTTTTTGTATTTGTAAATTTTAAATCTCAAGAAGGCTATAGATTATAATATCTAATTTGCCTATATTAATTCTCAAATTTATTAAAATGCTTGAGTAGATATGAGTTTTGGGACTGTGTAAATACTATGTTGATTTTGCCAGCTATTAACTGGATGAAATGTTACCCTTTTTGTAATTCTGATATAGTGCTTCCTAAAGGAAGAGAATAGCCAGCATCCCAAAACTCTCATACATGCTGTACCCAAACTTTTGGGGAAAAAAAGGCCAGTACATACTACCTGTTTGTTTTTGCAGATGCAGAACGCATCTATCTTCAGAAACTGAAGATCTGTAATGGCAGTCAGTATGCAACACAAATTTGCCTTTATTTTTCCAGTTAAACCAATTAAGATATCTTCAGCTGCAAAGAGAAATTTGTGTGTTAAACATTAGGTTTTGCAACTTATAAATACCCAACATAAAAGGAGATTAATTAGTTATATCTTACTTCTGTGTCCGAGAGGTTACATATTCTCAGTAAATACTGAATGAAAAAGTAGCATCATTCAAAACATTGTCATTTGATGGATTTTTAGTGAGAAAGAAGATGTGAAGTGTTTGCACCAGTTTTGAATGTTTAATGTAATTTAAAATACATGATGTAATCCTGAAGAACACAGTCTTTTTAACTTCCCTTTATAAATCCTGAATTCAGAGCATCCATGCCTGGTTACAAAAGAGTGGATACAGAAAACAATTACTTTGCTGTATTGATCTTGCTCCCACTTCTATCTGTCTTCTTCTGCAATGTAATATTTCAATGTAATATAGGTTCTTCAGCAGGTCCCCTGAACCACTTGACGATTCKCTGCCTGAGAGAGTCACTTTGCCCAGCTTGTGTACTTCATATAGAGTGGACTTGATAAAAATAATTCAATAACAATATAGTACTGGATTAGCAGGATGTGATATAAACACTAAAAATATCTTCTGTGAATTTAGATGACGTAACATGCAAGTGGAAGGTTTGCAGCAAAGAAGGAGGTGGCAAAAACCATATTGAAATACCAGTGTATCTCAGAGGATGAATTTCACAAAAGATTACACAATTAGTTTTTCTTTCCCCCTCCCAAGGTTTTCTAACCTGAAACKTCTTCAAATGCAGTTGTTTGCTTTTTGAAAAATTTCAAAAACATACTTTGATCATGTTTAATATAGACAGCCTGGACTTTGATTTTGTACTTTAAAATTATCCATTACTGTTCTCAAACTAACCTACAGCTATACGGTCCCATGGGAAATTAAGATGGATTAGACTTTTTGTGCATCTATCTTCATTTGTATTTCTCAATGTAATGATGTGTATAAATATAAAAATMCACTGCAGTTGGAATGGACATCTTGCAATGCAGTTATGATCTCTACTTCAACACCAATTCAAAATTTATTAGTTAAAAAATTGTGTATTTTAGAACAATGCTGATAACAAAGCTATGGCAAAGGAAGTATGATTTGCTGAAGWTGCTTCTTTACCTGTTTCAGAATTTTTCATGCTATTTATATACAAGAGCAATGGTCATCAAAATACATATTTTCCATTACTTCATCTCAAATAGCCTCAGCTTGCAGTGCTCATTCTTTCTCTGTTTAAAATTTAGGAAGAGACTGAAAGAAATATGTAAATCTAASTGTTGTTTTCTGAACTTTAATTTTAAAACCTGTGCTCTTTCTCTTGCAGTGAAAACTCATATGCAACAAGGATTAATTTCTGTTGCTGCTCGTACTGTGATAACACATCTAGTCAACCACTTAGGCCACTATCCTATGAGTGGAGGCCCTGCTATGCTGACCAGTCAAGTGTGTGAAAACAATGACAATCCATACAGTGAAAGTCCTGAGCTTTCTCCTGAACTTTTTGAGAACCCAAATCTTCAATTCTTTGTATTAAATAACACTTCCCTAGTGTCTTGCATACAAATCCAAGCAGAAGACGACATGCCTGGGGGGGGACTGTCTGCTGGACTTGCATCTGCTAATTCAAATGTTAGAATTATAGTGCGCGATCTGTCTGGCAAATACTCATGGGACTCGGCCATTTTGTATGGACCATCATCTTTATGTGCATCTTCTCAACAAACATCTTTTGCACTTTCATTAGCTCAGCAAGATAAACCAGAAGATGCTCTTTCATCTTTTGAACATGTGGAGGATGTRTCTGCAAGGGATGGAATTACACTCCAAGTTAAAAGGAAATTTAGAGACACTGTACCAACATGGGATACAATTAGGGATGAAGAAGATGCTCTTGATGAGCTGCTGCAGTATTTAGGTGTTACAAGTCCTGAATGCTTACAGAGAACTGGTGTTTCACTAAACATCCCTGCTCCTCAACCAGTCTGTATCTCAGAAAAGCAGGAGAACGATGTCATCAATGCAATTCTGAAACAGCACACAGAAGAGAGAGAGTTTGTTGAAAAGCATTTCAATGATGTAAATATGAGGGCTATGGAGCAGGATGAGCCAACCTCACAAAAGCCACAGTCAGCATTTTACTACTGTAGATTACTTCTCAGTATACTGGGAATGAATTCATGGGACAAAAGGTAAAAAGACTCAAATTTTAAGAACTTTTTTTAAAGAAATTGTGCTATCCTTACCTTGATCATAGAATTTGCTAAATCAAAACTACTCTAGCCCAGTTAACAAAAGAGAGGGACTAACTAAGGGCAAAATGGTAGCTTTCCTCTGCATTTTAGCCTGTCATTTGGAGAGACAGAAAGGAGGAGCTTGTTGCTTTTATTGTGATTTATATTCTTTCCTTAGAAAGTGTTTGAAGGCAAATTGAAGGAGTGATGTATTTTCTTTGCTTCCCATATATGTTGCTGCAAAAATCATTATCTTTCTATGTCAGAATAATACTCAGAAAGTGTCATATTCTCAGCTATTGTATTGCTGGACAGTGTCCTGCTGCTTTATCTGCTAAAAGCATGCTTGCATGCAGCCTCAAAGAATTGCATGTGTACTAGCTAATGAGAAAGATGTGTCCCCTACTATTTATTTCAACACTGGCCATGCTTGAGTATTGTTTGGATATTGTTTAGAACAACAGGAGCGAAGCCACGTTCAATTACAGAAGTCTCTTTATATTATTATTTTTGTGTGGGCGTAGTTAGGTACATGTCTGCATATACATGTGGGTATGTACAAATATTAGTATCTTAGAATTTATGGGTCTTTTTGAAATCTTCTTTTGCCATATTAGAATCATTGATGTATTTTCCTACTATGAAGGGAAATGGATATTCTGTAAAACAAAAATAATCTGTGTTACTGAGATATCACTAGAATCAGACAATATTTTCATGTTACAACCCTTCTTGTTTGGGTCTTGAATTCCTCAAGGCAGTCTGGTTTTGAACAGGACTGCTCTTAATTCCRAAGTGTTTTGTGGGAAACATCTWAAGCACAGTTGAAAAGAAATGAGARCWGCCTTTCTTGCTGTAACACACTGGTTTCATTTTTTCTTTAAATTGTTACAGCTGRCTGGGTGATTACTGAGCTATGTTCTGCTCTGCAGTTCAGAATAGCAAAAGTTCTGTGCTTAGTGCACCAACTCCGTACAACAGCGAATTAATGGGAGTGTCTTTTGTCACTAAGCATGTATATTATAGTTTAGTAAAGAGTGCAGCTTATGTAAGCATCAAAGGGAGTTCTATCTGTTGTTCTGTAGAGAAGAGGTGGATCCCAGTCAGATCCAATAGGTTGACAGAAGAAAGTAATAAGAAATAAAGTTTGTACTCAATGCTATAATGAATATAGAAGATTTGCTGGAGTATGAAAAATTGCTTGTATGTTTTTTTAGAGATGTCTTGATTTTTAAATATTAAGAGAGGACTGTTGAAAAGGCAGAACCATTTGTTGACTGTTCCTGAGTGGACTGGAAATGTTCTTGTACCGTTCTTGTACTGTTCTGTATCCATCRGTGAACAGGTGATAAAAGAGTTACAAATCTCTCTATTTAGAAGGAGCTTTCATCTYCTGAAGAAAAATGAGAAGTTACTTCGAGAACTCAGAAATTTGGACTCAAGGCAATGGTAAATTCTTTTAATGACTGCCTAGTTTTAAGTGTGCTTTTACTCAAATGGCTCTAATTGCATAGATGTGAGAGATTTTTTTAATAGTGATTTTAATTATTGATGTATTTTGCATTGTATTGTAGTTATTTCTGTTATATTGAAGTTGCATTGGTTTTATTTGTAGGGCCAAATTCTGGAAGTAGAATACCTTGAGATAAACAAATTTCAGAATAACTTATTATTATGAGCATTTGTATATGCATAACATTGAATTGTTTTAAAACTTTGATATATCAAAGTCTCCACATATAAAGCTTTGGTTAATTGTTTGATTGTTTTCAAATGGTCCCGRTATTCTAGTTGGAATTGTAGCACAGAATTAAAAACTCAACTGTTTTTGTAGAAGTTGAAACAAAACCCAGTAGATGTTTCAGAAGTGTGAGAAACCACCTCCTGGTGTTCCAACGTCCAACAGCAACTTGTCGACAGAAGACATTTGAATGATGACGGTCTTTAAAATATATTTCAAGATTTTTCATTCAGTTGCACAAGCTGCACTCCCACAGTGCTCAGAAGGCACAGCTGTTAATGGGCAGTGCAGTGTGGATGATGGCCACGTACMGGTTTTGCCCATGTCAAAAGCCCACCCATTCCATTAACAATTGGTAGCCAGCACCATCCTGCATCTTAGAAGTGAAAGGGGTTGATGCTCCTCACATATAGCAAAATTTTAGGCTCTGGAGAAGATAAGACTAGAAAAGACAAAATGAGAATGTGAAAATATAGAGGATATCCAAAAAGAAGACGTATAGTTGTACTGTAATTCCATTATGCAGTTTTTATGCTTTAAAAGCCACCCTCTGTGTGTATTGTTTGTGTATTTTTCTTTCATACGAGTTAGGTACTGTCATGCAATTCTGTTTTGCAGCCGAGAGACACACAAGATTGCAGTGTTTTATGTGGCTGAGGGACAGGAAGATAAACACTCCATTCTTACGAATACTGGGGGAAGTCAAGCCTATGAGGATTTTGTAGCTGGTCTTGGCTGGGAGGTATTTATTAAAATATTTTTGTCCTAGGTTTGTTTACAAAGAAATTTACAGATCCTTTTATATATTACAAGTCTTTTACTCCTCAGCATTACTCACAAATACTGAAATACACTGGTTTAAAAATGGAATTTAAAGAAGAATTCCTGTTTTAATTTCATTACCAATACTAGCCATTTAAATTTAAGCTCTTAACAATTGAAGAAAGTTTGTGCAGGAAAAGATAATTCTTTGATATGCAGTCCTGTACTTGGCTTTCATGGACTGATTAGGAGACATCTTGATTTCCCAGTAAGCTTGTAAAGTGTTTAGTCCATTGAAKTTTGAGCTTTGCTAAAATCAGGAACTTAAAAAAGTACAGACAAGCATCTTCTCACATAATCTCTTTTTCCTGCCTTCCACTGCAGGCATGTGTCAGTTCACACACTTCACTCTACTTCTCCAGCAATCAGAAATATTTTCATGTACCCCATCATCTATGTAGGCCTGCAGCTATTTAGTCACTTGTTTGATACTGTTGCAGAGAATTCCTTCTTTGCATCTTTCAGATGCACAGGATTAATGATCTCTGTAAGTTCAGTTTGACACTGTTGCACAAAATGGCTTTTGCTCCTGGTTGGCTGCATAAGAAGCTGCAGGTTTTTTGTTCCTCTGGCGACTTGTGCTCATCAGGAGTGTCCGCATGAGTGTTTATCTTGCTTGTTCTTTCTGTTTCTTTATTCCTTAGGTATAAAAGAGCACTAGCAGATTAACTGTCTGGGTAATGACTCTGACTTTTACTCAGGAACAAAAGAAAACAGCTACAAGTCTGATGACTGTCATGAACATAGATGTTTCTTTCCCAGATTAAGGAGGAAACAAAAAAAWAATTAGTAACATCAAATATCCTTCTTTGGTGGTTTAATTCTCTTGGTCATTATTAGCTAGTGTAAAGAGCTGCTACTTTATATTAATATTCCATGATAAGACAGCTAATATTTTCAGATCTTAGCATTAAATTCTGCATCCTTAAGTATCAAAAAATAAATATATCCCATGTGAGCAGAGATTAAATATATTCACATCTGAAATACAACTCTCTGCAATATTTTTTTAAAAGTGAAACAGCACATTAAACATGCTTTCTTATTTCAGTGTCAGACTATTTCCCTTGGATCTAAGACTTACAAACTTATTTGCATATTATCAGTTACTTTCTTGAGATTTTTTTTTAATATTTGCATAATTAAAATTGATTAAAAATGTATGGAAGTAATAAATTGCCTGGCTCTTACACAGTCTTTCAGAGCTCAGGTTGATGTACTATCAGAGAATTTCAAAAAATTCAAAAAGCACATGTAAGTGACTACACTGAAATGATCAGGGAATAATGCAGTAAATATTATTTGCACAACCATTCCTTTCCTCTATTCTCATCTTTTCAGCAGCTTTTGTGGTGACTGTGGAATATGCAATGCTGCTGCACTGAAGTTGATTTCTAAACTAGTCAGCAAGTCTGAGCTCTTTTGAAAAACAGTATAACTATACTGTTGTGAAAAGTATCTTCACTTTTAAAGTTCTGTTGAAAGTGCATTTTAAAAGGGTGTATTTATCACTTGATATTTTTTCTTGAAATTTCCTTATCTTTATTCCTAGGTAAATCTCACAAACCATTGTGGCTTTATGGGAGGACTGCAAAAAAACAAAAGCACTGGATTGACCACTCCATATTTTGCTACCTCAACAGTAGAAGTAATGTTCCATGTGTCAACAAGAATGCCTTCTGATTCAGATGACTCTTTAACAAAAAAAGTAGGTGTCTCTGAAGAAACAGTGTTCTCTTGGTAATAAACCCAGAAAAATTAGAGTCAAAGAAAATCCAGTAACTTTWAAAAAAAATCCAATACAATAACAAAACACCATAAAATATCATAACCTCTTCACCTGCAAAATTGGTATATTCTCTACCAATTTCTAATTTTATCGTACTTGTGATTTTTGCCATCATTGCAACTCCTGGCAGGAACATACATAAACTGGGGGAAAGTGCAGGGAAGTAATGGTTGGTGTAGGRAAAAAAAGTATTATATATGAATGATATCTTATTACTGCTGAGATCTTAGATGCCAATTAATAAATATATGGTGGGTACTTTCTGAGATGACTTTTTATTTACTTAAGGGTCATATGCCGGCTATTAACATAATTTTCCCTTAAAAAGTTTAAAATATTAATGTTTAGTGTATGTAAGGTGTCTTGTCTTAGAGGAGGCACAGATGCTCAACGATGATGTGATCTTTTATAGCTGCATTTWAAAAAAATGGTTTTCTGTATTGGTATTTTTTTCTTTCGAATTTAATAAATTCCACATTAGTGATAATAAGTTACAGTCTCAAACATGTGTCCCATTATAAATGAACAATTAGCTATCATTAGACTGTCCCCCCATCCTGCATACATACATCTTCAGATGTGCTAATCCATTCACTAGACATGTTAATGAGCACTAGTTGAAGTGTAATATTGGAAGAACTGAAGCTGGTTGACCTCAGCATGGACTTTAATACTTGTAATTAAATTAGATGGTAGGCAGTTAGTAAAGAGAGAAATAGCCATGCCTCTGGCAAGCTTCAATTATTAATGACTTCTTTTTCTTTGTGTTCAACTGGAAGACAAAATATTATTGTTCTTATTATATACTCACAATGAATTCTAACTTCTCACTTTTCCATCCCAGGTTGGTTTAGTTGGTGTGGGGTTTTTTAATTCAAAATGCTTTTGCTTGTGTGCCTATGATGCTGCATCCTTTCTGTTCTTTGTTTCCTGAAGTAGAGTCAAGGTAATACTTAGGTAAAATCAATCAATCTAAAACTAAAATCAAGCACCTATGATCTCTGTGGAGGCTGAGGCAGAAAAAAGGGTAAGGATAAAAAGCCATGAGGAAGATCTTCCCTTTGAGTCACAAGGTTCAGAGTGGACCCCCTTGCCAAWCTTAGCCATAGACGTGAACAATGGTTTAGGTTTAAAGGTTTTATCAGCACTTACCAGCACTTAACATTGATATCCTTATTTAAGCAATTTAACAAAAGGTACTGTAGAATTTACTATAGCACAACAGTAACTTAGGAGTAACTTATGAGTAACTTATGAGTATTAATAATCTGAGAGCMACATTTGTAGTACAATTGCTCTAGCACATTTACACTTGCATGCACACAGATCTAAAGAAATATGTATGAGGAATATATATGTGTGAAAAATTCCCCTCGAGTTCAGGGAACTGACTACKCATGGCAGATGCCTTTGCATCTTCTCTACAAGTGAAGGGTTGATCCTCAAGGAGTGGAGTTATCAACCCAGACTGCATCAGTGGCATTTGACAGCGATCCTCTGAGTAYCACTTGAGAGTTTGCTGGCTCTGAGAAGTGTCCTGCTCAGCCAMCTGGTGCTCAAAGGGTCTCACTTCCATCCACTGTTTATGGGGCCACAAGAGAATTTAATTTAGTCATAGTAATTTTCCATCCTGTCAACAATTCAGGACGGTAACTTTCTTTGAAAGTTTGATTACAAATATGTTGTTCACCTGGGCTTTTACTCACGCAAGAAAAATAGGTTTCCAAGGTTGTTCACTAAAAAACAGGATTTAGACATTAGACAGAACAAATTCCTGGGGACCAGGCAGTGTTTCTGATACGCTCAAGAGGAGCTTAGCTCAGGTGCTGTTTATCAAGACTAAGGCCTAACAAGCATTTTTAAGATGATAGTGCAATCCATGGGAGGAGGGAGGGATACACCACCACAGAATACCCTGCATCTACATATAGCTGCTCTTGCCAGGTAGGGTTCAGTGCTGGTCCAGGCTTCCCGTGACTCAACCTGTGAAAATTGTGTCCGCTTAGCTTCTTAACAATTCCAGCTTGCCCCAAGGCTATTTCTCTCCTAATTTAGTGACAATCTCACTCATCAGTAATTTGGAATATTTGTGGTCTGTATGGATATGTAGAGTGTATCAGTAGATTGGGATTATATTACTACTGATCAACTGTTTAATCAAGCTACTTTATTTCTCTGTGGATTTCTTTTTGGTTCTTCCTCAGTGTGTTGATTTTGTTCTTTTTAAGCATATTTTTCCAAGAGCAGAGCCTTGTGAGCCTCTGTCTCTGTCTCTCCTCCCTTCCCTAACAGTTTTAAGTCCATTCCAATCAAATTTAATAGAGACGTGTTTCAGAGCTGTTCATTTTGTGTATTAATAATTTTGTATTTGTAATTAAGATAGGATAAGTAAAGGAGATAGAGTGGGTGAGAATTTCAGTGCTCCTGCTCAGTAAGTAAAGACTTGGTGGGAAGAAGCATTAAATATCAAGGAACTAGCATGAAAGAGAGACATTAAGAAATTCATCCTAAACTTCAGAGAAACATCAGCTGAAGTTTACATCTTGGGAAAAACTGCTGAGTGCTATCAGGAGACATGAGTAGGAAAACAGTCTTAATTCATTTACCAGTTCTGCAACTACTCATGCTGAACACATCAGYGAAAGGGATGTGTTTCATGAAATGCTGTTCAGCTCACACATACTATCAAAATGAGAGCTATGTGAGTGCTAACAGATGTAATTGTTCTGTACTGTTCATGACCATCAGAGAAGCTTGAGATTTGAGCTTCTCTACAGGTCTTGTGATTTTTTGTCTGTTTTATTCAATGGAAGAAAACCAAGCAAACTTGCAGTAGCTGGCTTTGAACAGCTGCTGTTTTTTATATTGTAAATGTGCCTAGAGGTACATGATAGGTTCATCTTATAAATGGAAATTAAATTAAATTAAAACAAAACTTCTTCCTGCCAGTTGAGCCACTGCAAAATCAAGATTCTGCTGTTTCAGGGGCTAAGCCATTTTTATACTGATTTTCCGTCAGTCTTAGAGAGTAGTAAATTAAACTYTGAAATATCTTGAAACCTCTGAAGCATTTGTTTCTGCCGATATGAAGAAGAGCAAAAAAAGGCATGAATTCAAGAACTGATTAGAAACTTCTGATTGTGTAAAGGAACTTAACATTGAAATGYATATATAAAGTAACTAATTTGCAAATAGTAAATTCAAGGTTTTATGCTGGTAATGCAATCCATTCTAGTTTTATTACAATTAAAGGTTAAGGTAGAAAGTATTTACACTAACCTTACGAAAGCTTGCAGAGAATATCAGGACTATATAATGTGAAGACAGTTTACAAAATGAGAGAGRCTGTAGAAGCACATAAATGAGCTATCACCTGTCTAGTTCCTCCTTTCTTATGAGAAACTTCCTAAAGGAGGGAAGTGCATTGTGAGAATATTATACACAGCCTATATAAATTAAAGTAGTAACATTGTTAATGATTGGATTACTCATTCATCTTGAACTTTTGGTGTATTGCATGATTCTAAGTTGTGCATTATGTGATCCTAACTACATAAAATCTTTACAGCTCCCAGTACTTATGGCCTTTTAATGTGTTACTAACATGTATTGGGAACTTGAAAGTTTAGAGATGTAAACTATTAGTACAATATTTTTTTTAGTTATGTTTAGATACGCATATTGCTAAAAAACCAACTAAACAAAAAACCCAAATACTCCATAGTTACTGAGACAAAGTTTTGTGAAAAATTAATCTGGAAGGTACATGCACTGTGGACAGTAGTGCTGCTTACATTTGATGGGCAAAACTAGTTGCATAAAGYCATTACTTCTGCTCCTTTTGTTGTTTTTATAATAAACACTTCCATTTTTGAAGAAGAAAAAAGTTAAGGCTAGCTGTTCTATCAGCAGAAAATACAGTAGCTTTTTTTCTCCCTCCGTTAGGTAAGTGGGTATTAGAAATTACAGTAATTTTGGCAAGAGTTCAAGGGTTAATGTAACAGATAAATAAAAGGAATTTTCTGTAAATTGAGCCCTGCATTATTTCACTTGTCTTGCCTTTCCAAACCTAACTCATTTAATTTTAAAAAGTAAATACTTAAATTCTTCCTGACAGTGTGCTTTGCTTTTACTATCGTTTATTACTTCAATTATAGTTGGTATCACTTAGAACAATCTGCCATTTGGAAATTTCAGTATAGCCTGCAGCTTAGTATTAAGTCTGGCTGCTATTGTAACATGTACAGCATATGACACTAATGTATCGAAATTAGATTTGATCGTCCCTCCTGGTTATATTTATTTCACGTTTCTTTTGTATTCAGTTAACATAAATGTATTAGGAGAGCTGACACATGATGATGGTTATAGAGTAAGAATTTTTTAAAGTATTTTGAGTTAAATTTGAAATTTCAGGTAACCTAACAGTCGGTCATTTTTATATATTTGTTCTAATGGAGTAGAGTTTCAAAGCAAGCCTAAAAAAATGTGTTTGTCTCTGATATCTCCTCAGGGCTGYCTTCCCAACAGCTCAGGTTTAAAATGGCTAAAACAGAGCTCTTAATCTCTTTTTCATTGCCACCTTTCCGGATCAACACAGATAGCATGACAGTTGTTCCTGTCACTTGTGCCCATAGCCTGAAATTATCTTTAATTTGGTCAACTTTCTAGATTCTTACATTCATTCTGTGCTTAAGACTCTTCATTTTCCAACCTAAAACTTCTTCCAAAATAGCTTTTCCATACACACAGTTAAAATTTATTCTCTAGATCATAAACCTTTTTTTTTATTGCTGAACCTTCCTTTCTCTGACTTTGATTCTTGAAGAATGATGATATAAATGACATTTTCCTAATCTTTAACACCTTTTTACAGCTTCTTTGCATTTTTCCATCTCCATTTGGTGTCATGCCTTATGCTTAGGTAATAAACTCTCTAGAGCAGTTTGATCTGCATTTAGAATGTTAGAATACTGGTGTGTAACCTGTAGTTTTAAGTGTTTCCAGTGTATTACCAGTTGTTCAAAGTATAACATTATTTTAGGACTTTTTAGTATTTATTGCAGTGCCTTATGTCTCTGGTACTGATTTGCACTTTCTTAGGTTTATTGTGATGTATGCACATACGAAGTTGTAAATTCAGGGAAACCAGATCAAGAAATAAGTGTGAAGAAACAACTAGAGTCAATTTTTGAATAACCATTAACACAGAATTTGGTCTTGACAGCTGTCCATTCTATGTTCACCAAATCCCATTCTCTTAGATAACACTGGGACCATATCTTGTTGGGAAAGCATGTTTTTGTCTGTCCTTAAGGTTTCAGTGAGCACAGGTGGTTGTAGCTCAGTAAAACCTTTGTCCTCCTTGTGTCCAGGACACTGAATTCTGGGATGACTCCAATTCAATACAAAGAAATAAAGAATCAAGAATAAAGTTGAAAGAGGTCAGGCTCTGGTTCTCCTGTGGTGTAATAATTATAGTGAACGATGGATTCTCAGAATGTTTGCTGTGCTTGCACTGCTGAATTTCAAAGTACTCAAATGAAAAATTGGGCAGAAATCTGAAATTCTTCTTTCTTCTAAAAAGTTTATGTAAAACCTATCAGGTGAAAAAAAAACCCGGAAAAATTTTCAAGTCAATTTCATGTATAAAATCTCTTCCATGAATCAAGWGTTGTTGATGAGTCAAGTTAACCACCACTCACACATTTTCAAAAGCTTTGCTTGCTGACCAAAGAGAGAACATCTGAAAGAAGCAATAAGGAGCACTATGTTAGTAGTGTCAGAGCTTCCTCTGATCTAATCTTGAAAAAAGAACAGAATGGCTTATCTAGAACTTAGTTTTTCTACAAACATAAATATAAAATTAGTGACACACTACCTTGTTTTCTTGTCTGTTATTTTTGTCAGTCGTCTGACCACCTATAACAGAAACAAAGTTTTGATCCTAAGTACTTTTCATTTTGTTGTATACATCACCATTCATCATTTATACCATCATCCACCTACTTGCACCATCTGATTTTGACTCTTAATCCATTAGATGTCACAGAGATGTCATTCTACATTTTGCTCAAACTGGGTCATTGCCAGATCATTCTGGGTAGTAATCAGRAGGTGAAATAGATTTGACAGGACTTGGAATTCTGAAATAATCTGATTCATTTAACTTTTCCTCTGAAGAAGTTTCTGCTTTTAGCCTGGAATGTGTTYTCACACATATATACGAGTATAAAGCAAACTTTGTAACTGGAGAGAAAAGTCACTGATGGCTGTGGTACAGTTGGCATCCAAAAATATGTGTCCCTTGTCAGTAATCCTGCTGAAATAACCCAGTACACTTTTATCACAGCAAAATCTGTMTCTGTCTAATGTGAAAGCATGTGTCAGTAGTGGTGCTCCATCTGGGTCGCTTTCACAGAAGTGCAAGAACTCCTGTCTGTTTAGCTGCAGGTATCAGTAATAGGTATGCGGGGGCAACCTTTGATAAATGAAATTCAGAGGCAATGATGCCCTCAAGAAGCTGCRGTATCTATGCTCTCTACTGTTTTGGATTTTAAAGGTATTCATTTGGCATGTACACTGCCACCATCAGTCATTTCTAACAGTCTGTGAGTWTATTGTCTCTTGAGTCCAAAGATGGCAAGTAAAGGAGGAATAATTCTTTTAGTAGATTGTTCAGTATTGCTGAATTGTGAATGKTGCCATGCAGTGATGGTTTATCGGTCCCAGTTCTGCTTTTTGGCAGTCAGTTCAATGAGTTCAGTCAGTGCTGCAGATGGCCATCCCTCAATCTAGGATCATGTGGGTTTTTTACATTCCACAACACTTCATGTCCAAACTGATTTGCTTCATGCTTTCTCTTTGGCTAAGCAGCCTCCTTCTCCCTGAGTTYTTCACTTGCTTCTAAGTGCGAGCCCGTCAATCCCTGATACCTTATCATTGTCATATTTCAACAGCTAGTCTGACTGTCACTTTGCTTAGGAAGCAAAATAGGACTTCTTTTTTTTTTCTTTTAATCTGAGGTGCAGTTTCTCACTGACTTCTCTGGTGATAAAGCCAGTTAAGACAACCCTGCTTTCCACTCCTGTTATGCTTCAAAAAAAGGTGCCAACAAGTTGTTTTCTTGGGCTATGTTTGAGACCAGTACAGTGAAATGAGCTGGATTTAAAACAAAAATCTGCCATATATTTCTGCCATTTGGATCATGTTTGTGATCCATTTAAAAATGTTCTCATGCCTGTAGAAGATGGTTAACTGTGGCCAAAGGAGAGGAGGCCAAGGATAATGATTTATTAAACAGTGATGCTAAAGGAAACTGAAGTGAATCTAAGCTGTGTGTAAACTTAAAAGATAGAATATTGCCACAGTACAAGTTTTCTTTAAGTAATGTTTTGCTACAAAACTAAAGGGTTAGACAGAGGAGTTGCTCTTCTGGTGATTTGGGGGAATTAGAGGGGGTGGTTTTTGTGTATATTGAGGTTTGTCTTATCAAGTCCTCCAAGCTATAGCCAGGAAAAAAAAAACATCTAAGTGTGCTTCATAGCACTCTCTTACTGCTCTTAGTGATGTTATTTAAGGTTGTAGCAATGCTGAGGTTGGACTCCTCTCCCAGGTTACAAGAGACAGGATGAGGAAATGACCTCAAGTTACACTAGGGGCGGTTTAGACTGGATATTAGGAAAAACTTCTTAACAGAAAGTGTTGTCAAGCATGGAACTGGCTAAACAGGGCAGTGGTAGAATTATCACCCTTAAAGGTGTTTAAAGGATATACAGATGTGGTCCTTAATAGCATGGTTTAGTGGTGGACTTGGCAGTGTTAAGTTAGTAGATGGACTTGATTGTCTTGGAGGTCTTCTCCAGCCTAAATGATTCTATGATTCTAAGATAGAAGAGCTTCAATTTTGCAATTAATTGTCTTTTATGGTATTTGTCATTGTTAAGTGTTATCCAAGGTTCCTGCAGCTGCTATTTGCGTGTTGCACATCAGCCATTTAGGTTGCTGTCTGGTTTTATTCTAACCTAGTAAAATATAACTCAGTGTAGTGAATGTTGTTATAACCAATCCTTTTGCTGGGTTGGGTTTAAGTTTTGGTACAGTAGCAACCCTAAGTGTGTGTTGTTCAAAATAATTTAGCCACAAGAGGCAAGAGCTGCTGACTTCAAAAGCACCACAGCCATTGTAGAGTAGGTGTGTCTACAATCTAGTCCAGGCAAAACAAATTATTTGTTGAGCRTCAAAGAAGAGATAGGGTATTGAAGCCATCTGTTCTTTGCCCAGTCCAACACTGAAGGAAATCCTTTTCTTATAGAAATACAACCCTGTTCTTCAGTTTGGTACAATTTAAAGCTAACCGAGAAGAGTAGAGACTGCTTCTTTTGCTCTTTTTTGGGTTTTTTTTTTGGTTGGTTGGTTGGTTGGTTGGTTGGTTGGTTGGTTGGTTGGTTTTGGATTTTGTTTTTTTATTTTACGTCTGCTACTGACAACTGGTGTAAGCTTTCAGATAAGATGAAGGTAGCATTCCAGGAGGTTTTGCAAAATAAACAAATGAATAATTGCAGTTAAATTTTTCTGAAAACTGTGCATATGTTTTTCTTTTATTTAAAGTGCAAYTGTGTTCTGAAAGTGCATATGAGAAATTGTTGCTCTTCTATATAGAAGAGCTTTTACCTGCTCAGAGTGGTATTTGTATGTTACATGTTAACAGCAGTTCACAGTGCAGTCCTTCAAATAACATCAAGGTGATTGTTTGACAAACTCCGCCTACCTAAAGCTATGGAAACAAGCTGAAAAYTGGGGGTGAAAACAATTGTCAATAACTGGTGATAGACTGGGAGATAAAAAAACTATTCAAGTTTAAATTTTAAGAAACAGCGCTTACTGGAAAGAATCTCACATTTAGTAATCCGAGTGTATTTGATGAGTATACATAAAGCCCCTCTCCATGATGTGAGCATTTATTATCAGATGTTAATGTTTATTAGAAAGAGTGYTTTGGAACTTCAATGCAGATAATTCCAGAGTGTTCAAGGAATTCCTTAATCTGGTTATATGATTACATCTGAGGAGACAGCATGGATTTTGAGGAACCCATTCAGCCATTCTGAGCCAAATCAAGAGCCATGTTGTARTTTGGAGGGAGGTAGGGTGTTATTTTTACAAAGGTATGCAAGTTTCATGGAAAATAAGCATTTCTCCTAGTTATTCTAGGAGTTTTAGAGAACACAGTAGCTACTCTCCTTTAACAGCTTTTTGTTTGTAATAGTTTGGAATTTGACTAGAATGATGGGGTTAACTTCTCAAATATGTAGCTTTTGAACAGTTGTCCATTCATATAGTCYATTCAAAAGTTCATACAGAATTTTGTAGTTTTCTGCCTATCAGCAATGGCAATCTTGAACACATTTTAGTAAATCAGGTTGAACCACTCTGCATTCTTGAGATAATATCAACAAAATTTTAGCTTTCACTAGGAAACAGATATTCATATATCTGTTAATTTAAACAGAAATTAACACCAATGTATAAAAATCTATAGAATAAACCAGTACTGTCAACTAATACACTGAAATTGTAAAAGAACTCTAGTGTACTTTGTTTATTTTACTTCATGGGGCTTTAGTGAGTTTGTCTTTTTAAAATAGGTACATTTAATACTGCTGTATGGCTATAGAATATTAATYAAGAATATGTAAACTGATGGCATTTTATCCCTGATTTTCCAGCTAAGGCATTTAGGAAATGATGAAGTACACATTGTCTGGTCAGAGCATACTCGAGATTATAGAAGAGGAATAATTCCAACAGAATTTGGTGATGTTCTTATAGTTATCTATCCCATGAAAAACCATATGTTCAGTATCCAGATCATGAAAAAGCCCGAGGTAAGTGTTCATTTTCTTTTGTGTTTCTTTCATGTGTTTAAAATGAACGCACTTTTGTTTAGAATGTGAGGTTTTGGTATAATAGATTGATCCAACAAGGTGATGTCTTAAGCATGGACAGTTGCAGTGGTGGTAGGAGGGAAAAGGAAGAGCTCAGTGAGTACAATGCACAGTAAGAGCAGTAACTTGAAATTGGAAAGGGCTGATGCTCTAAAGCATATCTGCTAACAACAAAATTTAAATTGTTACTACAAGCAGTAATGTTAATAAATGAGGTATGACAGAAATAGGATTACTTCTTTGTGGTGATTRCCTCTATATATTAATAGACATGAAATGATAACCAGTCTTGTTATTATTGGATTACTTATATTTATAACTAGTGAATATATTCTTTCTTTTGCTGCTTTAAGTACAAATACTTGTATTATTGGGAGCATGCAGGTTAAGAAGGAAAGCAAAAATTGTTAGGAACGGAGATTGTTGTTAGTCCAAAAAGAATTCCTTGTATGTGAAAAGAGAAGTGCCTTCCAATAGATTCCAGTATTCTCAAAATTACATTAAATGGCTAATGGCAAAAAWAATACAGCAAGCTAGAATTCTTTTGCAGTATTTGTTTCCTTTTAGCAGGAAGAATATTTAGTGTACACTGTGATCCCTTTGCTGAGCTGATGCACAAAGTTTGCTGCTATTCTTTGTGTCAGCATCTTCAGAACTTTTTTCACATGTACAGGAAATGAAGATATTTCATATCAAATGTTTGGTTTGTTGTTTTTTTTTTTTAATTGCAAAATGATGATTGACTAGAGAGAAATAGAGTGCCAAAACATAAGATCTGTTTGTTCTATTCACCTTTTGGGGGCTAGCTATACTAAATATTGAGGTTTTCTACTGATCTTACAAATAAGGCTTTACAATTAGGCTCCAAAGAGGGGGAACTTCACCACAGATTTCTTCTGTAAAGGGCTTACAGTCTTTTTGTTTAGATATTGYAAAAAGGAAGAAGAACAGATAGAAGAAAAAAAGAAAATAGAAGGTCAGGGTCAATACACCAGTAATTGTATGACAATTTCAGGCGGGGTTGATCCTTACATGTTCATAACCAAAGACATGATAAAAAAATACCTTAAAATTAGAGTAATTATTTCTTTTGTCTCCTGCCATATACAATATTGTCATCTAGCCATTCAACCTCATAAACATCTTATGCATGACTGTTCCTAGGATTTTTGCAGCAAATGTTGGAAATTATCTTTGATGAGGCATGGTGTTCAAATAGTTGCTTAATTTCTTCAAATGCTGTGTTATCTGTTGCCAAGGATATCAAGCAGTTATATGGCTCTATATTTCCACAAGAGAAAAGGTCTGACTTGCAACACAATAACTGGTTTGATTATCTAGCAATGAGGAGGGAAAAAGATATATATTTGAGTRCTCTATTGTTAATGTTGATTGCTAATTGTTATAGCTAAGATCTTGCTTTATGTTGAACTTCTTAATTTTTTATTCAGGTTCCATTTTTTGGTCCACTTTTTGATGGTGCTATTGTGAATGGAAAAATTCTGCCTATTATGGTTCGTGCAACAGCTATAAATGCAAGCCGTGCATTGAAATCATTAATCCCATTATACCAAAACTTGTATCCTTTCATTCAAATGGTTTCCGAGGCATAAACATTCCCTTGCAGTTCTACAGATATGATCTTCATGTTTTCTTTTTTTTTCCAGATTAATACAGGAATTTTTTTTTAAAGATGACGGTGCCTTTAGGGAACTTAAACCCATAGAAGAGCATTCAAATGAAGACCATCTCCTTTTAATTAAATAAAGAATAGATTAAGKGCTGAAAAATTGCCTGTTTCCAACGTGTATTTACCCCTTTTTGTTAACAAAATTATTTTAGTGACCATTTTGGGAGTAGTCTTTCTGAAATAGCAATATCATGATGTTAATAATCTTTCTTTCCTTAAGATATGAAGTATTTATCCAGTATTAATGTGACTTAGGTTTATTTTCTAGTTCTGAGAATGCTTCTTTTCTTCAAAGTAAGAAGTCTGTTAGACTTCTGTCATGCAGATTTTGTTATTCAGCTCTGAATACAAACTTGACATCAAAATCATCTTAGTGTCTTTGTAAATGTGACAGAAAAGGCCATCTCTTTTTTGTTGTTGTTGTAACTGAAATTGTATTTTTTGGAGGGGCTGCTCTTGGAAGAACAGATTTGTCAACCATAAATCAAAAAATATAAGGTAAGGCAGACACTTATACCGCTTTTCATTCTTGAGTTCTGTTATATACTTATTAGTTAAATTAACAAGAGTGGACTATTTTTGAATTTCATAAATTGAAAGATTAAGTTTAAATTTTGATCCAGAAGAATTCTGTGCTTAATTTCAAATGAAGCTGTAAATAGTAGTACTTGTCATGTGACAGATTGTTACTAAAATAMTGTTTTTTCTATGGCTGGCTGTTAATACTTGCAGAGTTTTGGATTAGATATGATGAAATAGATTTACAGATGAATGATGGATGTGTTTTATGTGATCACATTAAGTGACGTTTGTGCCATTTCTGTAGATGATACATGTTGATTCATTGTATTTTCGTGTTTGGAAAGGTCCGATCTTYTTGTCATTACTCAAGTAGCTTAGTCAAACAATTAAAAATGTATTATCATCATCATCATCAACCATCAAAAGTGATGGTTTAAAGCATTATATTGATATATAGCGATGAGCAATTGGAAAACAATTTGAAATAGTAAACTTCCAGTACCAAAAAAATCCCACAGACTTGTATGTTTAAACTTCACAGAATATGAAAGTTCTATTAAATTCCTTAGACATAGTTTGCCAGCTTAATGTCTATAAATTGGACAGTTCCACAGAATTGTGCACTGCATTTTTAACTCTCCAGATTTTAATTCTCCAAATTGTACTTTTTGATATRCATCAAAGCACAGCCTGTCATTTATGACATAATGTGTCCTCCATTAAAATGCTGGTATGTCTCCCAGTATGGTTAACATGGTAAGTGGAAATCATTATGTGTATTTGATTTTAGATGGCATTGGTTGGTGGCTTTCGTGTCATCAGTTGGTAAGGTTATGAAGTACCAGTTGGCTGSGCACTGACATTAAAGGGTGGCTTTGTTAAGTTGTCTGTGGAATTCTTTTTCCATCTGACTTATATTTACTGTTTAGTATAGTAATTTAAAAATTAAAATGGGGTTATGGGGTTCTTTAAAAGTTGTTTGCTTGGTATGAAGTTAGAAAAAATCTCTTTAAACTTTCCTGGCTTGAATTAGGCTATGGTGGAGTCAGTTGTCAGTGGTGGACAGCAAAAAATGCTAAACTTCCAAGTCTSGCCTAATTCTCAGTGATTTTAAAACCTCTTGATTAAATATGTCATGGACATGCTTGGGGTTCATCCCATGGCCAGACTAGGTCAAGAAGGAATTTCCCTCATCCAAGAATGGCTAAGACTTGTGGATGTTTCCTGTAACATGGACATGGTCTGTTATCTAGGACCATTTGAAAGTTAAATCTAATTATGTTCCTGTGATAGTGGGGAGTTGAAGACGTCAAGAGCTGTCTTTATTGTCTCCTGCTGTTTTCCTCCAGGATATTTTAGCTATGGCTGCAGCAACTGGCTTTTAAGTTTGTAGTGAACTAAAGGCTGTGGGGAACAGGCATTTTTTATAGTCTGTGGTTAAATAGCTTTTCTGGAGACACTGCAGGAATTAATGTCTCTTGCAGAAGACAGGCAGGATTCACTGATCAAGGTGGCCTTTCCTCATGGTGGAATATTAATTTCCTCATGGTGGAATATTCCTGGAGCAAAGAAAAAGAAGGGTCAGAGTGGTGAAAACAATACATTTGAAGAGGGAGAAAAGGGGAACAAAAAAGCTCTTTTTCAGAAGGCACATGAAATGGAAAAGTGAAGCTGATAATCAAGGGTTTCCACAAGTCCAGGACTATAACAGTATCACTGAAAGATAATCCTGAAGTGATGTTCTTGATCTTCATTACTTAGTTATGAGTGTCTAATGAACAGTGTTAGTTTATTAGGAACTTGTATGATGGTTAGTAGATACCCAGTTGAATGTGGATGTCAAGTGCACAAAAGTACTTGAGACTTTTGTCAAACAAAACAGATGTCAGGCACTACGTTTCTGTATTAGCTGTTCTTTTCACCGTAGCAGACCAGCAGAAATAGTTCATTTCAAAGCCAGCATTGGTGTACAAATGTCTCTGTCTCTGTTTACAGGTGTGTGGTTTTTTTCATGGTGCTGTACAATACTTGGGGGACCCTTTTTGACTTTGMAGAGCTCAAGATAGAAATATATAGGCCTGTGCTTATCTGGTTTTCAAGAATGTTTATGATATCACACTGTAGATCCTTGGGGTGATGGATCACTGTAAACTCTTAATTAAACTAAGACTGTGTTGATTTGCTTGCATATGGGATGGGAAAAAATGGGCACTGAGTTTGGCTCTCCTACTTCCACAGAGAGCTTATCTACCCTCCAATACAGTGCATTTTCTAAGTGCAGACCTGACTTAAAAAATCAGCTGTCATTTGTAATCAGCAGGGATATTCAGTCCTCTTCATGTAACCTGATTGCAACTTTTTCCTTAATGGGCTGGTCTGTTAATCATGATGTGCCAGTGGGAGGGTGTGTGAATGGTATAATAATGGTTGCATGGAAACCAGAAATTCTGCTCATCTTCCTCTTACAGTCTTCTCCAGCTCTGAGTATGTGTTGTATGGTCTGAAGTAGCTTTCTKAGACTGATGTATTCTATCACCTTCCTCCTTCTGAAATTCTGACATTTCTGATAAGATACTTAGATAGCAAAAAACTTTGAAGATTAGATTTTGTTAATGATTTTTAAAGGTTTTATCTCCTCTGTGGTTTTATTATTTGCACAGAATACTATAATGATATGTTTCCATATTGTCATGTTCTAAGAYTAAAAATTCATTAGATTTATCAGCAAGCATTATTGATGCATGGCAGGTGTCCTGCTTCATTTGAGCCTTGACATGTTCATTGCTTTGCRTCTGTAGGAAGAAAATATTGCTATTTCGGGTGGAGATTTTGCATTGGWGTGTGGAATTTGCTTTAGTTTCTCCTTCAAAGATTCTTTGGTCCTCCAATAATTTTTGGTGGCCTGTCTGTCTTGTACCAGTACCCCCTCAGGAGCAGGTGGCGTACCTGTGCACAAAAACAGGTAACAAACACAAAATACTTATGCTGTCTTGCTAATGAAGCAGCAGTAAACCCCTTCCTGTCTCACTGCTSATGTGTTTCCTCTTCTCATTGCATTTGTCATTGTCTTAAGAAATGCATGCTCTCCTGAGTGCATGCTTTCCTGAGTATGYTCCAGCTGCACATACAGTAGGAAAACTTCTAACACTCATAAATGCAGGTTTAATAATGGGACTTCATGTTGAGAACAGTCACTTTCACCATTATGTAGAATAAGAAGGCCAACATTTAGGGATTGTTAAGTACTCTTTATTTACTAAAGTGCATTGGCATTCATGATATGAGTAGTTTTATTCATGGCTCATGTCTCAGAGCAAGCACTTTGTCACATTCTGAATTCAGAATCAACCATGTGTGGGAAATGGAACAGTACTAAATTTTGGAACAATAGAAAGTGTGGCTTCGTATAAAATTTTGTTTTAACTTCCTGAATAAACAGCAGATATCATCCAGATGCCAAGAGGTACRCCTTGACATAGTAGGCACCTTCAGTGATCCAACATGGTACAATTATTGCAACAAAGCAGGGCAAATACCAGAAGCCTTGTGGGAGTGAGAGTCCAGTTGTGATACAACAACTGTCACTTTTTTCATTGTAATTCTGAAGTGTTACCAATTATTCCRACTATCTGCACTTCAGACACAGTGCTTTCTGTCTTACTTAATATTCCCCTATTACAGATGCTACCTAAGACACATGGTGAGAAATCCTCTTTAACTTATTTTAAAACTGAAATTTATAGACATGTTAGAACACCTGGAATATGCATGATTGTTTTATCATAAATCATCACAGCATAATTTTCTTTCTATTRATCTGCCAAGTCTTTGATCTAGTACTGAGAACTGGCATTTCTTTTTGGAGATATTTTTGGTCACATGAAACCAATTTATATAAATAGCAAAAAAAACCCTGCTTTAATAATTCCATCTAAAAAAYGTTATAGAGTGAATCTTAATATAAATGATTGGATAAATTAATCTTTGTTATCAAAACCAAACATTGACATCCTCCTAACTTCCTTGATATTGTGTGACTAAGCAGCTGGTACTTGATGTATTGTAGGTAATCTTTAGTCAGTTGTCTTCCAGAGAAARGGAAGGTATTAACCCCATATGGTGTCAGACAAGACAGTAACGTATTTATAAATAAAATAATGTCTATGAGTGGATGTTAAAAGTTTGCTCTGTGTTAGAAACTGATCACTCTGAAAGCTTTTTTTTCTTGAGGTGATTCTCAACAGCCCCAAGAAAGGGTTTTATTACAACTGGTAGTGTAGCTGTTTGCTGTGCCTGCTTTAACATCTCCTGCCTCAAGACAGAATTGTAGGCACTGGAAAAGTGAAGAAAGTGTTTTTTATAAATGA